ACCTTCTTTGTCTCATTTGACTAATGTATGTTGAAGTCTACTGTCTCATATAAGTATTGTTACTCCTGCCTGTTTTAGGGGGCCATTAGCTTGGTAAATCTTTTTCCAGCCTTTCACCCTAAGCCAGTATTTATTTCTGTCAATAAGATGAGTCTCTTGTAAACAACAGATTGTCAGATCTTCCTTTTTAATCCACTTTGCCAAATGGTGTCTTTTGATGGTGGTTGAGTCCACTGATGTTCAGTGTTAATATTGATAGGTATGTGGTGATTCCTGCCATTTAATTGTTTAAGTATTTGAGTGCGTGCTATCTAATCAATGCTACTCCCTTATTACTTGTCTCTTCTTCTTCTGTGGTTTAATACTTCCAGTCCTCTCATGGTTTTGTTTGCTTTCATCTTCTGTGTGTAGAATTCCTTGCAGAATCTTCTGTAGTGGAGGTTTGGTGGTCATATATCATCTTTGTTTCTGTTTATCATTGAAGATTTCTATTCTCCATCAATTTTGAGTGGGTAGTTTTGCTTGGTAGAGTATCCTAGCACTGAAATTGTTTTCCTTTAGTGCTCGAAATACCTTACTCCATGCCTTTCTTCCTTTTAAGGTTTCTGTTGAGAAATCTGCTGTTACTTTGATGGGTTTACCTTTGTGTGTTTTATGTTTTTTTCTCTCTTACAACCTTCAATATTCTTTCTCTGATCTCCGTTCTAGTTGTTTTAATGATAATATGTCATGGAGAGGTTCTATTTTGGTCAGGTATGTTTGGTGTCCTGGAGGCTTCCTGTACCTGAATGGGCAACTCTTTCTTAAGATTTGGGGAATTTCCTGCTATTATTTTGTTGAATATGTTATAAATCCCTTTGACTTGCACCTATTCTCTTTCTTCAGTGCCCATGATTCTCAGGTTTGGTATTTTAATGGAGTTGCTGAGTTCTTGCATAGTCCTTTCACAGCTCTTAAGTTGTTGGAATAAGAGTTCTTCTGTTTTTTTCTTTAATATCTATTTTATCTTTGAGCCCTGAGAGTCTGTCTTCCACTTCATCTAGTTTGCTGGAGTGGCTTTCCACTGTATTTTTTATTTGACTAAAAGGATTCTTATTTCTAGAATTTCTGTTTGATTCTTTTTTCTGAGGTTTTCCATATCTTTGTTCAACTCCTTTTTCATATCTTGTGTTGTCTTCTTTATTTCATGTCTCTTTTTTTATAGTCTCCTTTGTTTCACTTTGGTATTTGCTGAAGTCCTCTCTGAGTTCATTTAGTTGTTTCTGTGTCTTCTCAAGTTTTTTTATTTGTTGTGTCTTGATATTTCTTGAGTGCATCTTGTACTTCCTGACTAGCTGTGTCTTGTAGCTTCTCCATGAGTTTCTTAGTGATTTCATCCATGATTTCCATGTTGAGAGATTTTTGTGGGTTCATTAGTAACATTTATCATTGTTTTGTTGGGGTCAGGAACTGAGTATTCATTTTCCTCATTTCCCACTAAATCCTCCATTGAATTGTTTTTTTGCAGTTTCCTTTTCTTCTTCTTCTCCCCATCGTTCTAATTGATGCTGTGCAACTATTTCTTGATTGGCTTATTGGTAGTTTCAATTGCCTTGATTTAACTTTTGTGTTGTGACTAGCTTAGTTGTTAGCTAGGTTGATATGCTATTTCTGTCCCTGTCCTGGAGGTGTAAATTAGCAATAACAGGTACAGGTTCAATGCCAAACCAGTTGTTTACATATTATATAGAAAACCCCTTGGTGATGGTATCTATAAACAGTGGGAGTTGGGAGGGCTAATGGTTGTTTGGTTAAATAGAAACTTGGGTAATTGGTAAAGATGGTGCTAAAAGGAAAGGAGGAAAAAGAGGGGTAGTGTGAGTGGGGGAAGAGGTATAGTAACTGCTGGGTTTTGGGGCCTTTGTGTGTGTTTGGGTGTATTCCCACTGTTGTAGTGGGGGGTGCTTGTGTCAGGGATTGCTGAGGGCTGGGGGTGTGTACAGTTGGTACAGTAGGCTACTCAATGGGTGGTAAATGTGTAGGAGGGAGGGGTAATGTGACAGATTGTGGAAGGTGGCAGGGGCAAAGGCAGAGGGAGAGAGTGAATGAGTAGGGGCAGAAAGAATAGTTGGGGAGAAGAACAATGGGTTGTGGCACAAGAAAGGGAAGAAAGTTAAGGAAGTAAGAATAGGGATAAGAAAATAGTAATGGTAAAATTAAGAATACTAAAAAAAAAAAGAAAAAGGTATAACAACAACAAAAAGTTCAGTCTGCTCAGCAAAAGTCCTGGACTTATTCCTTTGGCATCCAATCCTAGTATTGGAGCTTGGCATTCTGTGCTGTATGAGGAAGGGTGCTACAGCTGGACAGCTTCAGGGGGAGATGAGTGAAAGGTTTTTTCTTTTTTTCCCCTGCTTTCCTTGGTTTTGTGGGCTGTCTGTTATAAGCAGGAGCTCTGAAGTGGTCTCATCAGATAGCTGGCTTGTGAACAGTATTCTGTTCCTTCTGTCCACAAGGCAGGTTGCAATTGGAAACTGTGGTAGCTCACTACAAGTTTGTGCAAAGTGATCCGATCTGTTGTTTTTGCCAGGCAGCAGCTATGTTGCCTGGCTGCAACTCTGTCTAGTCAGCTCCTCCCCCCGAAAGGTGGGGCAACTCAGTTTTGAGTAACACCCTCAGTCCCAGAAGACTAGCTCTGCTCCCCTGTTTTGAGAGGTTGACTTGTCACCCCACCCCTGCTCTCAGCCTTTGTACCTTGCCCCGCCTCTGAGACTTTGGCTACTCTGAAAAGTTGGATCGTCACCCCACTCCTGCTCTCTATTCTGGTTCCTCTCCCTGCGTGTGCTTGTTGAGAGTTCAGCGCCTTGCCCCACCCCTGTTCTCCAAGGTTGATTCAGCACTGTTTATGTTTCTTAGCTTTCTTGGGGGGAGTTCAACCTGCCTAGGGCCTGTGTTCCTGGGGAGTGGGTGGAGAGTTGGGGGTGGTGCATGGAACTCATCTGTTGGGTCTGCAGATTTATGCAGGCAGCTTTGAAACTGGCCAGCAGGGAGAAATGGCCCACCACTTTTCTCAAGTCACTTACTGGGACTGGGTTCAGGGCATAGTTAGGCTTTGCACGGGTTAGGGGTCCAGTATGTCACAGGGTTCAATTCTGTCTGATGCTCTATCTTCTGCTTTTTTGAAAAAGAAAGGAAAAAAAGAGAGAGAGAGGAATGAAATGGCCAGGGGGCTTTTCCCAGAGCAGACATGCCCTATTGGCTGTGCCACAGAGATTTCCTTGACTGTTAGGTGCAATTAAAAGCTGTTTTGTAGGGTCAGTCCTTGAATTTTATGTGCACCTAATGTGTTGGCAGATACTATTATTGCTAGAAATAATCAGAATTACCCAAGTGTAGCTTCCACATCTCAAAGTGGAATTTCAGTGGTCTCTGAAATTACAGAGCTCAGGAATGCTGACTCCCTACCTTATCCACCATCTTGAATCTCCAGTTTGCTGTAGTTCTTCATTGCCTGCACAACAGCATTCAAACTCCTTAGCAGGTGTAATGCAAAGATTATTCATCCAATTGTCCCTGCTCATTTGTTCAGCTTTAATTCTGTCCCTGTCCCCCTTGCACACTCTTCACAAGGAGTTTCCAATCTAGTAAGGAAAATAAATGCTCACTGAAGATGAGAGCTGGGCATGGTGGTACACGCCCATAATCCCAACACTTAAGAGGTGGAAACAGGAGGATATTGAGTTTGAGGCTAGCGTGGGCTACCCAGAGAATTCAAGGTAAGAAAGACAGTTTCAAAACACCAAAGACTGGGGATATAGTTCAGCAGTAGAATGCTTGCCTAGCATGTGAATGGCCCTGGGTTTGATTCCCCAGCACTGTGGAAAGGAGAAAAAGAAAGGAAAAAATAGTTATATGAGAGTGCAAAGCAAAGATCTCTACACTAAAGCAAGGAATGAAACTCCTTTGTCTGTGTCAAACCCCCTACTCCCCAGCACATGGTAGACTTCACTAATCAATTACTGCACTCCTTGTGTGGTCAGATAGGGAAAGCAAATCCCTCTCCAAAGAGCACACCATGAAGTCATTACCAATTAATTAAAGTTAGCTCAAAGATTTAGAATTTAGAGAAGAGGTCCTAAAAGAGATTAGGATTTCAATAGATAGAGAATGGAAAGAATGGGGTTTCCAGGCTCAAGTACAACAACAAAAGCACACAGATCCATTGCACTCACTCCAGTCCATTGAGCCCAGGATGTTCCCTCTAACACAAAGCAGGTCACTTTTGGGGCCAGGTCTCTGTTTCAGGACTTGTGTGACATGGCCAGGACTTATGAACCCTCTACCCCAAAAGCTCTCAGCATGAGCATCCTGCCCAAAGAGTACTCTTTCCTTGTCTCCAGTGATTTCTTTCTAAATCCTGCCCTGCCAGGAAATACCTGTTATCTGGGCAAGGCCAGTAACCTATGTGGTGTCCAGGAAGTTTAGCAATTAATGCAACAAGTGAATATTGTGCACCTATTGTGGGCACCTATCTGGGCTATTTCCACACATGCAAAGAAAATCTTTTACTATTAGCTATAATTATGGGTTTGCTTGTTTGGAGCACTCCATAATAAAATGATGAAAAGGTAGAAAGGATAAAGTAAAAAAAATATCATGAGAAATATAGATAAGAGTAGATTAAAACCCAAGGAAGGGGCACACATCAACTCTTGGGCCCTTAGAGCTCATATTTATGTTCAAGAGAGGCTTCTGTTTTACTCCTCCTTGCATCCTCACTGCCTGGCCCAGGGCCTGGAAAACAGGAAGGGCTCCATCAGTATATTTGACCTTCCTATTTGGCCTGAAGCTCCCTGGCAGCCAAGTTAAAAAAAAAAAAAATGACTTACATTACCAAATGGACTTATGTTGTTAGCATGACATGTCAGTTACTTCCCACGAAGTAAGTCCTTTCTTAACACCAGGTACTGAAAGAAAACTCTCAAGTGAGGGCTCACCCAGTAACTGGTTCTGTTTTTCAGAGATCACAAAAGACAACTGCAATGGGACATGCCACACCAGCGCCAAGTAGGTACCTTCTGGCCTCTTTGGGAACAATGCAAAAGGGATTCTTTCCCCATAGTTTGTACCCCAGACCCTATCCTAAGGGAAGTAGCTTCCTGACACCATTTCCGAGGATTTAGGATACATTTAAGTATGAAACTGAAATTATCTCTGAAGGGACCTTCAACAACTGACCTGATCCAGGTTTTTCAACAAGCTGCCATTGACTTCCTGCCATTGGCACATTGACAAGAATGCCAGTTGTCATCTCCAGTCAAGCCACCAAGACTCTCTCATGGAGGTGAAGAAACCCATTGGGCCTGGGTTTCAGCAAAACATGCTCCAGAAGCCCAGCCCCATGTGGCTTCGTTCTCCCAACTCTGACAGGCACATCCCCCCGACTTCCACAGAGCCTAGTGCATTAATAAGAACCCAGGAGCTGGAGTTAGGCCTGAATCCAAAGTCAGCCTCTGTCACCTTCACAAACTACATAACCTGGAAACTATATTCGTCCCTCTAAGCCTCAGTTTCCTCATCCATAAATGGGGATAATAATGACACCAATTATGGGGTAGTGTGCAGATGGCATGAATTAATGCACAAAGTTACATCAATGGTTCTCTGAAGATTGGTAGCCACCTTCCATATCCCTGGGCTGACACCTACATAAGCACACCCTGTAGTGTGCCTGACGAATGGCTGTAGGTTTAGCTGTCAGTGGTGGGGTTGTGCCAGGAGTTAAGTCTCCTCCCAAGCCACGGACAGAAACTCTGAGTGCCTCACAGAGGGTGGAGGCTGGGTTGGTTGGGTATTGGGAGTCATGGGGTAAAGCGTTGGGTATTTTGCTAAATCATCATTCACCCTTTCTTATTGCAGCTGCCTTCTCAATTCAGATGGCACAGCCTCGTGCAAATGTGCCGCAGGATTCCAAGGGAACGGGACAGTCTGCACAGGCAAGTGAGAGGGACTTTGCTAGGAGCCAGCAAGACCTGCACAGGCTATTGAGAGATCTGGGTGGCTGAGCCTAAATGGTCCTCGGCAGCTGTTGCCAGCCACTGGTGGTGACTTATGTGTAACTGGGCATCTGATGGCACGTGCCAGGAACAGGAAAGCTGCCATGCGTGGGAGAGGCATATTGGTTTGGGAATGGGCGGGGCAATCGCACAGGGAATTTACTGCGTTCTGAGCAGGGTTGACAGCCTTGAATCACCAGGTAGAATCACTCCGCAGCCTTAAAAACCAAGGATTTGATTGGCTTAGAGTGTGCTAGATCAGCAGGACTTTGAAATGAGCCAGGAAGGGTTTAAGAAGCCGTGATTCTTCTTCCTACTCACCTTGTCACCACACGTGGGTCTTTTCACTGCTCTGAGCCCCTTTAGCTCATTTGCAAAACAAACTTAGTAATGACATGTATTCTTTTCGTCCATTTTCTTAAATGCCTTAATCATAATTGTTTTTTTTTTTTCGTTTATTCGTGTGTGCATACAATGTTTGGGCCATTTCTCCCCCCTCCCCCTCCCCGTCCCCTCCCTCTCCCCCCACCCCCTCTCTTCCAGGCAGAAATTGTTCTGCCCTTATCTCTAATTTTGTTGAAGAGAGAGTATAAACAATACATCAAAAAGAAACAGCATTTCACATTTCTTGAGTGCTTGTTTTGTGCCTAGAATTGTTGTGATTCTTCAATTTCTAATAACAATCCTGTAATATAAATGCAATTATTGCCCTCTCTTTACAAATGGGAACATGAGATAAAAGATGGCTAAATAAATGTTTGTGGTCTGTAACAAAGAGCAGAGCTAGGATTTGAATTCAGGCAGTCTGATCTCAGAACCCTCACTTTTAATCACAGGGTTATATTTATGTATGCATCTTATATATCTACAAAAGTTATAGGTAGATAAAGTTTTGTTAAAGAGAGGCAGGTCTCCCAGTGTTATTTTGGACACTAAAATGCTTTCTGTTTTCTCACCGCCCAAACCGGAAATGTGAAGGAGTTTCAATTTAGCCTATATTGCATAAAGATATTTTTTAATCTGCACTGCCCAATAATTTTTAGAGTATATTTATTTATTTATTTATTTGTTCATTTATCCACATGTGCATAGAAGAGTATATATTTTAATATTGTATGTAGTCCAAAAATAAAAACAATTATATGAAATTGAAAAAAAAAAAAGACAAACTTAGTACTGCCTTTCTTGCCGAGAGCCTTAAATGGCCTCTGCATCCAATGGCAGATATCAGGCAGTTGTTAAACCTCAGCCTCCTCATTAAACCCCTAGTTTTGAATCTAAATTCTCATAATCTATTACCAACAAAGTCACTTGACTGATTTTTGCACCAGTTTTTATCTGTAAATTGATGATAAGAGAAACTCCCTCATTGGTGGCTGCATGTAACCCAGATTAATACTGGTAAAGTGCTAAAAAATGCTAGCTCTTAACTGTTATGGTACCTAACACATATTTAGTGCTAGAAAACCAGAAACTCTTAGTGTCATTTTCCCCTGAGCACCATGTCCCAGCAGACTTTGGTCTAGACTGAAGCAGAGCCCGACAATGATCATTCCAATCTGCTTTCTAGACCATCTCACCCAGGGATTTTCCCAGGATGCCATGTGCTCTGACCTTGGTTGCCAGATGGTCCCCACAGTAGGAAGTATACAGTAGGCTCATAATAACAGCTGGGTAGGGCAAATAACTGGCGTGCTTTTCTTGCCCTCTGTTTTTGGGACTTAGCCATTCAATGGCTGCCAGTGTAGTTTTGAAGTGGCTTCCATTTCTCAATGACCCAAGTACAAAGACACCAACAGATTTCCCCTCTCTCTCCTCTTCTGCCCTGTGCCTTCTCTCCCTTCTCTAGCCATCAATGCCTGTGAGACCAGCAATGGAGGATGCTCTGCTAAGGCTGACTGTAAGAGAACCACCCCAGGAAGCCGAGTGTGCGTGTGCAAGGCGGGCTATACAGGCGATGGCATTGTGTGCATTGGTAGGTGACCACCCCTCACCCATGTGGTACCCATGTGGTAGGAGTGGTGTAAGAGTCAGAGCTATTAAATGACTCCAATGCATGAGCTCTTGCTGTTAAGACATACAGCTTCTGGGGTCGGTATTCATTGCACCTCAGCAGGAAAGCCTGTGTGAACACAGGGATGTGGAGATGTATAATGACCAAAGATCACTGTGGAAGGAGAAATGGGGAAACTCTTTCTAATTAAAAATGATGGTGGTGGCTGAATATTTACTTTTTGTTGGTTCTTTTTTCATACAAGTAGCACACTCTCACAAGGCTGTATACACTGGATGGGGGAAAGAATTGTAAAGGTGTTTTTTTTTAACACAGTGCTTCATGATACAGTGTTTACTATGTTAACAAGATCACATAATAACCTTCCTTGAAAAATAAGTGCACTGCTCCCTCACTATTTTAGTGGCTCCACACTGTTCTGCTATAAAGGTATTCCAGAGTATGTGTCTACATTTTAACTTTTTAGTTGTAAAAAAATTGATGAAGAAGTATCACAAGAACAGTACAAATAAGTCCAACTCATTCTTTACACATTTTACCCCAATTTTTCTTCTTATTTGCTCCATTTGTGTGGTATACATTTTTTTTCTCTTACCCATTTGAGAGTAGTATGTATAAGTCCTGTTAAATTTATTCCTATTAGTCTAGTGTGTATTTCCTAACAGTAAGGGCAGCCTTTTACATAGCACAGCTCAGTTATCAACTTAGTAAATTTATTATGTATGTAATACTTTGGTGTAATCGTCTTGTCTTCTAATTTTGTCAGTTGTTCCAATAATGTCCTTCTTGACACTTTTTTCCTCCAGCACAGGACCCAGGCTAGGGGTGGATATTGCATTTAGTTACCACCTCCTGTTAATCCCCTTTAATCTGGGACAGTTCTTGAGTCTCGCTTTGTCTCTTATGACATTGACATTCAGGGAAAATGTAGTCCACAGCCCCAGCTTTTCTATTTTTGATAGCAGAGGCTTCAGTTGGGATTTATCTGAGGTTTGTACATGATTAGATTCAGCTTGTGCCTTCCAGGCCTAAATGTCACACAAGTGACATTGCATCCTTCATAGGATGTCATACCAGTTCTCAAGGTTTCCATCTGACCCTTGTTTATGATATAAATTGTGACCACTCTGTCAAAGTGCTGCCTCATTTCTCCACTGTGTAGTTATTTTTTCCTCTTTGCTACTGAGAAGCAATCAGTGAAGAAATGCTTTAAATCCAAGTAAATAGCATACTCCTCTTTCAAATGTCCTCATAAAGCTAGGCGACTGTTGATGATTCTTCTCTGAACCAGTGTCTTGATTCTTTTTCATTTATCAATCTCTTCATTCATAGCCCTGGTGGATTGGACTCTAAGCCTATTACTCCAAGTCTTGGTTACAAACACCCATTCTCATTCCACAAAGGGATAGAATTGAGCCTGTAGGTCGGTGCCTCTGTTGGAGTTAACCCGTCCCAGGGATGTTGATTTCAAGAAACAATACCTGGTACTCTCCCGGCTAGGTTACTTCCACCTCTCAGTCGTCAGAAAACAAACTCACACTGTGACCCTTGCCACTTCTGGTCAGCTAGCCAAGCCACCTCAAGTCTCTAGCAAGCCCCTCAAAATGCCTTTGCTTAAAAACAAGAAATGAGTCTCATGGTAGCTGTTGGCTTTTGTTCTAAAGAAATCAACCCATGTTTGGAGAATCATGGTGGCTGTGACAAGAACGCAGAGTGCACACAGACAGGACCCAACCAGGTGAGCTTATCTCTCTCGGGTTTCCTGGGAGGAAAGTTCTAGGGCTTAGACACAGGCCTGAGGGAAAGAGGTTGAGAATACCTCTGCACATTGCAGCCACAGATGGTCTAGGACAAATGATGAAGGCACAAGAGGCTATTTGCTGGGAATGTGGGAAGACAAAGGGCACTGGAGAAGAGATTTCCCTTGGAGAGGGAGTCCGAAGTATCTGCAAAGACCACATGATCCCAGAAGCACCTAGAAAGTTCCCCCAAAATTCTCCCCTTTCTTTCTGTTTTCCAATACCCAGGACCTCACCCTTTGTCCTTTGATTCGAGACTCTAACATCCAGGTACCACAGCAGAAGCTCATACTTCGGGCCTTCTGCCAGTCATATGGTCTCAAACATAGGAAGCCATGCAGCACCCCTCAGAACAGCAAGTTTGGAGAGAGAGAAAAAACAGAAGACCCCAGCATCAGAGTATGGGGTCATAGGGTAAAAAAAATGGGACAATCTGGAGGCCCGGAGACCCACACTCTGCCTCTTGTGGTCTCAGTCAAAATGGCCAGGCAGGAAATTTCATGTACCTGAAATTGGGTAACAAAGTCAGGATTCCCATGAATGTCCTATGAAGATGGTGGGGCCATTTAGAGACTTCAGTGCCAGCCCCCTTGATGAGCAGTACTTTAGCTAGTACCTAAAGTGCCCTAAAATAAGGAAAAACATGCTTGTCTTGAAAGAATTGTGTGTATGTGTGTGTGCACATGTGCATTCATGAGTGTACGTGTATGTGCACCTTTAGTCATGGGGATAATCAGAACAGTCAAAGTTGGGATTTCTGGCACATATTTTGGGGTTCAGTAGAGTTTTTATTTCAAGATGCAAATGGGATGGGGGAAATCCATAAGCACCCAGGTGTTAGACCTGGAAGGCTGCATGGGAGATGGAACTTTGAGAATAAGACCTTAGCCAAGAAGGGATGGCTGGTGGGACTCTTGGAACAGGTTTGAGCTGGGATTGTGCCCTATTATGAAGAAAGAGGAGGAGAAACTGTGGAAAATTGTCCATGTGGCCCTGGTTGGCCCCACCAATAAGTGCAAATTCTGACAAGTAGACCTGTGCCAGGACCTCTGCTGCTACATAGGAGGCTCTTATGTGCATTAGAAAAATTGCCCCCTTCTTCAAAACCAGAGAACAGGAAGGTAAAATAGACCATGTCTAGGGGCTAGTACCAGCGGGAGGGGAATGATATAAGGAAAGGGTGTAGGAAGGTGAATGTGGTGAAAATATTATGTACTTGTGCACGAAAATAGAAAAATGAGACCTGTGGAAACTGTTCCTGGAATGGGGGAGAGGGGCAGAGAGAATGATGAAGGGGGTGAATTAACTATGATATACTGTAAGGACTTTTGTAAATGTCACAATGTATTCCCAGCACAATGATATGATAATAAAATAAATGAATAGAAATAACAATGAAAAAACAGCTGCCCATTGGGAGCAGGTGCCCTTGCCCTGGCTCCCAGCCAGTTAGTAGAGAGTGGGCTGGGTTTCAGCAGAGTACATGTAACTTAGGGGGCTGTGACCCTGCACTCAACTTGAAGTCCACAATTGGCTTCCTTGACGACCGAATGGGTTGGATTGATTGGTTTCATGTGTGTGTCCTGGTGGGCACAAAGCCCTGTTCTTACCATGTGCTACCCAGGTGCCTCTGGGCTCATCATGGGTGAAGATGAGCAAGAAACGGTGGAGGTGGGATATATTTTAGCTACCTCTCACCTGACCCTCCACCCAGCAAAGAGAAAGGATGTAAGTACCTGCAGCAAGGGGCCAAATCAGGTCAGAAAGCTTAAAAGAGAAACTGGTAGCAAAGGTAGGATGTGCATGAAATGAAGTGTGTTAAAAGTGCTACAATAGAAGATGATTGTCACTATAAATTAGATATTACTGAGAGCAATGCAGTCACCACTACCATTGCCATTACTGGATAAAATTCTGAGAGCCAGCACACGTGACCAGTGCGACCCTGTCAATGAAATGACCCTTTTGCCTCTGCTCCCGGACAGGCTGTCTGTAACTGCTTGCCAAAGTACACTGGAGATGGGAAGGCCTGCACACTCATCAATGTCTGCTTATCCGTGAGTACAACTCTGGGCCGATGGCCTCAGAGCCTCTGTCTACCTACTAGGGGACCCAGAGTTGAGTCGATCACCCCTTGGAGGTCTCAGAGCTGCTTCTGGGCCATGAAGCTTATTTCTATCTCTTGTCAAATTGAAATATTGGGGAGAAAGGAGAGACAGGACACCCACCTCCCCCCCCCAGCCTACTCCCTTGACTGCAGGACCCCAAGGGAGTTCACGTGAATGCAAGTGCCCCAAAGCCAGCTGGAGGATCAGTTTTCCCAAAAGCAGGCTATGCACCCAGAGTCAGCTAAGAAGCTTTAATATCAAATCCAAAATCCAGATCCCTCACCGTGGTGACTGGGTGGCTAAGTACTGATGTCAATTGACTAATTGTTGTTTGGTTTTATTTATTCTCTGTGGATCTAATGGAGAGGAAGAGAAGGTCAGTTAAAAGCTAACATTGCAGAATGCAAAATGTTATGTTCTGCAAAAGGCAAAACTGGGAGACAGAAAAAGATCAGCAGTTGGCAGGAGTTGGGGAAGGAAGGGTTGAATGGGCTGAGCCCAGGAGTCTTGGGACAGTGAAGAGACTCTGTGGGACACTGGAATAGCAGGTCTTTGTCATCACACATTGTCAGACCGTGAAGAAAGTGCAGCCCTGAGCTGGAACCCTGATGCACACTGCAGGTTTAGTATCAGTGTTGGTTCATCAATTCTAACAAACATTCTAGACTAAGGAAGAGGTCGACAATGGGGGAAAGTACCAGACTGGGGCCAGGGCTATTCTGGAATCTGTACTCTCCACTCACCTTTTCTGTAAACCTAAAACTACTCGAAAAAGAATCCATTAATTTTAAAAAAACTAACATTCACGGAAAAGCCAGTCTTCAATTCTCCCATTTTTCTTTGCAAGGAGTGTGTGTGTGTCTATGTGTGTTGTGTGTGTATGTGTGTGTGTGCATGTGTCATGCACACACACATGATGTACACACAGCTTCTGCTATCCCAAGTTTGCTGTTTCTTTCCAGCTTCACCTATCTGCTATGATATAAGAATGTGCCCAAGATAGCACATGAGTTTTGAAACAGGTTGTTACTTCACTCATACATGTGTTTCTCCTTCATCAGAAGTCTGGAGAAAGTGCAGGACCATCAGTGTGAATTTCATGACCTCCTTATAAACCTGTCACCCACACTTCCCCAGCTATCCTCCATATTACCAGCTTTTATCAAGGAAATTCCCTCCCACCAAGCATGCATTTCACCTCTGAGACAAGGCTCTTAGAGAACCACCTCCTCCAGAAGGCTTCATAGATTAACCCCTCAACAACTTCCCACTTCCTGTTCTCCTATGCTTTATTGGTAGGAATCCACACTGGGTGCACTGGGAGTTGACAATGCAATGTAGCATTTCAAAAGTTCATGCTGCCTTAGTCGTGAGGAAACTAAGGAAGGAAGGTGATTCTACCCTCACCACACAAGTGTTCCCCTTCTCACCCCCACCATTCTGCATGTTAGCTCAGCGCTAAAACAGAAATCCCCTTCTAGACCCTGCATTGAGCAGGAGCTGGTGTGGGGGCTGGAAGAGCCTCTTCCCACTCCATGGGCATCCACACATCTTTAATTCTTCCATTCTCTTTCTTTCTAAAGAGGAATGGCGGGGGTGGGGTTGTTGGGAGTGGAAGGCTGCCACCAACATCTTGGTTGCCACATGACAGAAGGGTTGACTTTGTTCTCTGTAAACCCAAACAGAAAGACCAGAATTCACGGGGAGACAGTAGAAGAAAACAGATTCCTCCCCGCCCCAGACAGAACATTAGGACACTCTAGAAATAGGAAGAAATGAGCTTATGATAAGTCAAAGTTTTTGTTTTTGTTTTTAACGGAACTGGTGTTTGAACTCAGGGCCTAGTGCTTGCTATGCAAGCATTCTACCACTTGAGCCAGACCACCACCTCCTACCTCTAATCTCGCAAGCAGCTGAGATTATAGAAGTGTACCAGCAAATCTGGTGTACTTTGTTGTTGTTTTGGTGGGACTGAGGTTTGAATGCAGGGCTTCACACTTGCAAAGCAGGCATTCTACTGATTGAGCCACACCTCCCGTTCATTTCTCTCTGGTTATTTAGGTGAGAGGTCTTGAGAACTATGTACATGGACTGGACTTGAACTGTGATCATCCTGATCTCATCCACCACCAATTAGCTAGAGTTGCAGGCATGATCCACCAGTAACCAGTGCTCATGTATTTTTGCGACAGGTCTTGCCAACTTTTGCCCAGGCTGCTCTTAAACCGTGATCCTCCTACCTCTGCCTCCTGAGTAGCTGGATTCTAGGCATAAGCTACTCTGCCTGACCTCAAAGTGTTTAATTATAAGAATAAGGCAATGGATGGGTTATCAAAGCAGATGTCATTTAGATTCCTACCATCCTGATTTGTATGACTCAAGAGCTTTGGACCGGTTTGCTTCTTGGGACCTCGATTTTCTTGAAAGTTTGTGGGTGGTCATGTGATCCCTTTCAGAACTAAGAGCCTGGGTTCCTCATCTAATTGCGTAGTTGACGTGCTTCTTGTCACTGCCCTCATAGCTATCTGGTAGGAACGTCCCTTCCTGAACGTGTCTTCTGATTGTCGTATAACCCTTGACTGCACACTGGCCCTGTGTTGCAAACTCAGCAGTTGGGCTCTCACTCAGCAGCTGGTCACTAAGTCTGCAACTAAGCAAGTTATCTACTGGTGCTCAGAGGCTAACTGTCCAGCCTCCCTACCTACAACACATAAGATGTCCTGTAAGCCTGCTGTCCTGCCATGACACACCTGTGGTACTTTGTGTGGTCACCTAGGTCTCCAAAGTTCTGCCTCCACATGACATTCATATGTACAGCTCACCAGGGGTCCGCACTGTGTCAGGCTTCGTGTGTATTCTCTCATTTCATTCCTCTGCAGCTCGATGAGGTGAGGACTATTATCAACCCCATCTTACTAATGAAGACATCCCAGCTGTGTGTCATTTTCCTAGGGCCGCTATAACAAGTGACTACAGAAATCTATTTTCTCACCATTCTGGAGGTCCCAAGTCCAAAATCAAGGCCATCGGGAAGGATGTGCTCTCTCTAAGGGAGAAGCCTTCCTGGCCTCTTCCAACTGTGGTGGCTCTGGACCTTGCTGGCTGTGGCAGCAGATTTCAGTCTCTCTGCTTCTGTGTTTATTTGGCCTTCCTATCTGTATTTGTCTTTTCATCTTCTTAGAACGACATGTGGATTTAAGGCCATCAGTTAATCATCTCAAGATCCTTTATTTACAAAAGATGACTCTTGTAAATAAGGTCACATTTACAGGAACTGCTGCTTAGGATTTAGACATGTCTTTGAGGAACCCACAGTTCAACCCATCTTGGGCTGGCAGGAGAGAAGGTCCTTGTCCAAGATCACAGAGCTAGTACGTGACACAGCCAGAACTTAAATCCATGTCTGTCTAACTCAAGGTCCATACTCTTGACTGTGGTGCTTGTTCCTCCCATGAGGCAGCAGTGGTCAGAGGAAGCCCACACCAAACACCTCACTCTCTTTATTTACACCATTGCCTACTGAGCACCCCCAGCTACTGGTATGAGAACAGATGGAACGCTGTGATTAAAGACTTCCTCTCCAGGCAGGTCCCCATGTCCCACTGTTGGCCTGCCAAGCTCAGAAGAACAACTTCCTGTACCTGAACGATTGTGTGCAAACAGTAAGGAAGCAGCTCAGAATGCAGAGGAAGCTGGGATTTGGAGATGTTACTGCTAGAGCTATACCCAGCTCCATTTGACAGCAGCTCTTCTCTGCGCCATTTACATCTTTTGGAATATGGCCACCTTGAGTTGGCCAAAGGCTCCTGGTCAGCTACCTGTGAGATTCAGTAGGCTTTTTGCTAATGTCTCAGCAGTATGTGTTCTAGGAATTAGCTTTCTAGTCCAAGGTCATTAGGGCACCAGGCCAACAGACACCAGGCAGGGAACAAAACAGTCATAGAGCTGAATCTGGCTCAAGAACCAATTTCTGCCCCAGTTCCACCATCAAGGGCCATGAAATGGTGTCTTCCCTGAGTTGGTCCTCTACTCCTATCTGTCTCTGTTCCGTTTGTGCCAGTAGAATGGAATACCTGAGACTGTGTAACTTACAATGAACAGATGTTCATGTCTCACAGCTCTGGAGGCTGGGAAATCCAAGATCAAGCTGCCAGAAGAAGTAAGCCAGGTGTAATGGCACACGCCAGTAATCCTAGCATTCAGAATCCTTCCCAGCAGAAGTTCAAGAAGAGTTTGGGCTACATAGTAAGTTCCAGGTCAGGATAGGCTACATAGCAGGACCAGATTCAAACAAACAAACAAACAAAAAAAAAAGAATGAGCAACATATGGGTTGGGAGTTAGGGGGTGGCTGATTTCATCCCTTTATTTGGAAGTCACCCCTACAATAACGTCATCAATCCCATCTTGAGGCAGAGGTCTCTCGTGACCCAGTCACCTCTTAAAGGTCCCACCTCCTAACACTATTACAGTGGTAATTAACTTTGAACACAAGGACACAAACATTTAAACCATAATGCAAACCTTCACAGCTGTGCTGATCTCTAGGACTCAGTCCTTTGGCCTGGCAGTAGAAGCTTCATAGAATATGGCCTAGCCTTCCACCTCCCTGTCCCTGGCTGCCAGAGGCTCCTATGAGGCTCAGAGTTGGACCTAGGTTAGAATCTTTTCTCTTCCACCCAGCAACTCTGAGACTTAAACTTGTTGCCTCTGTGCCTCAGTTTCCCCCTCTGTAAACTGACATACTGCTATCTCACTCCAGGACTTATTTTGGGGATTAAAGGAGGTAATGTTTATAAAATTGTTCTCTGGTGTTTTGGTAAAAACTAGCTTTTTTTATGATCATAATCTCTCAGTCAACCCCCCTTTACTCCTTTGAGACACCTTCTCTCCCATTTGGGTATATGGAGGCTTCTGCATTCTCAAATTCACCATAGTCCAAGGGTTGGAGTCACCCACAGGCATCTGCTTCAGGTGGCCCTTTACCATTAACTGCCTTGACAGTGCCTGTGTCTGGCCATTCTAAATAAATTGTTAGATATTTGAAGATGAGACCATATGTGTTTCTATTTAGCCAATGTGAAACCTCGCACCATACACTGTATACCATACACCCAGGTCAATCAACACTCAGTATATACCAGGCACTGGGACTCGTCAGTGACTTGGAAGTGGCAGTACACAGTAAGGACATGCAGACAATGCAGTGTGGGGTAGTAGAGGAAATGAAGCCCCACGTGGGGCAAGGCAAGCAGAGCTTGCAGGAGGCAGACACCCCTTCAGCAAGAGGGGCAAGTTTCAGAAGGTCCAGAGAAGGGTCTGTGGAAACAGGAAGCAGTTGGGCTATGTAGTGATAGGGTAGGTTTCCAGAACAGCATGAAGGGAGTGTCCATGGGTAGGGACCACCTGGGGTACCCAGACCTCTGGAGTGGACCGAGGTCTTCAGCAATGTGGCACAAGAAGGGCTCATCTTGGCAGCCTTAGATCATGCTGATATTGGGACAGTTAAGCTCAGGTGTTAAGCTGAAAGATTAAGGGCTATGGGTGGTCAAAGGCCCCCCAGGAGTCCACTTTTCTGAACAGTGTGCTGCACTGTATCCACCTGAGCAGGATTCTGGGATAGTCAATCTCACTTGGGTCAAAATGTCACACTCAATCCTTTTGGAGGGAAGGGCCATTTTACAGCAGGCATCAAGACTGTTCATTTCTTCCTGTGCTCAACGACACATATTCTTTTCTTGGGCTCTGCATGTCTTCCTCACTTACAGTCTTTGCTTAAGTTCCATAGCTCTTGAAAGTGTTCCCAGGGCCTTGCACTTGCTAGGTAAGTGCTCTTCCACTTGAGCCATGCCCCCCAGCCGTTTTGTTTTTAGTTTATTTTTCAGATAGGGCCTCTTACTTTTGCCCTGCCAGTCTCAGACTGTGATCCTCCTACCTTCACCTCCCAAGTAACTTAGATCATAGGTGTGCACCACCGTGCCCAGCTGTTTGGCTGTTTTGTATTTTAGTTCTCTGCCTCATCTTCCATAGCTTATGAGTTCTTTGAGGGCAGGAGCAATGTGTTCTGTTCTATAACAGCTGTTTCTCACTGATGACTGTTACCTTTCCTATAATCAAATCAGTTTAGCCTAAAGATGGGAATTATCAAACAAGATGGTTGCCTTCGTAGGTAGAATTCCAATCTGGGTTGAGAGTGCTGAGAGAATTCCAATCTGAGACTCTGAGGTTATCTACAGAGAGCTGGAGGTCTGCCCAGATGAGCCTGCAATCATGGTATGTAAGTCTGGTGATAAAGGAACTGGAAGGCAAGTTGAGAATAAAGGCAAGTAATTCAGACTAGTCAAAGTTAGAGTCAAACAAAAACAAAAATTTGTTGGGTATGTGTGTGCTGGGGATGGAACCCAGGAATTTGTAACATGCCAAATAGGTGCTCTGCCACTAAGCTACCCATCCCCCAGCCCTCAAAAAATTCCAACACAGAATTGCTTAGCAAATATTGGCAAAGCTGGCAAGTCAACTGGTCTAACTGCCCTCCCCAACTCTTTGGCAATTTTACCAGAACAATGGCGGCTGCAGTCCATTTGCTGTCTGTAATCACACTGGACAAGGTGAAAGGACATGTACTTGCATGACAAACTACACTGGGGACGGATTCACCTGCCGTGGCAGCATCTATCGGGTAATACAAGACAAGTCTCCATGAAGTAAACTCCACTGCCCTAAGTGGGCTGCGCCCAGGTCCCTCGGGACATGCAAGAGCTTTGTAAGATGTAAAGCGCTATAAAAATGCAAAAGGCTGTGTTTTATATAAATTGGCAATGAAAAGAAATTTTATCTACCCAAGGGAATTCATTTGACCTGATGGGAAAGGTTGTGATATCATAGTTAAGACTGACCCACAGTCTTAGTGTCAGAACCACACCTAGGTTTGGATCCACTTCTGCCAGCTCAGTAGCATTGGGACTCTGAGCAACAAAGTCATCTGTCTATGGATAATTTTTGATTCTGTAAAAGAAAAAATAATGGTAGCACCACTATCAGGTTGTTATAAGAATTAAATACATGGTGTATGTAAAAAATACAACTCCAAAGCATTGCACAACTTGGATTGCTCTGTGTGTGTGTGTGTGTGTGTGTATGTGTGTGTGCGTGTGTTGTACTCTCTCATGTGACAGTACTAGACACAGAGGACAAGGTGGTAAGACATTTGCAAGTTTCTCCCTATTATAAAGTAAACACTCAGTTATTTGGTTTAAAGAGGTTCTAGAGCATTTGATCAAATATTCTTGCTAATAGTGAAGCCAACTCTGCCATAAACCTATAACTGATGTTTCAAAATATTTCCATGTATTTGAAATATGTTTGTCTATATTTGAGCATTATTTTGAAATGCTCTTAAAGTTTGGATGTTTTTGGAAATGACTGAAGCTTTCTTTGAGAAATCATATGGAGATTCCAGGAAGGTTTTGGAGCCCATCAGGCACCTGTGTGGTCATTCTGAACATCAGTCATCAGCCCAGAGGTGAGGCTCCAAAGAGAGCCGTCACTGTCCAGTGAGGGATGGCAGATGCCCAGCAACCTTAGGAACATCGTCCCTTGTCTTGTTCTTGCACAGAATTCACAGGCTCAAGTGAAACTACCCTGTCTTTGCAGGAACTGCCTAAGGACCCAAGAACGTCCCAGTATTACTTCCAGTTGCAGGTGAGAACACGTGGGTCTGTCTTGCTGTGACAATCAGGTCTCAAGCCAGACACAGAATAAAGCTGTGGCCTCTGGAGTTGGTGAGGGTGGAGAAAGTCTGGGATCCTGACGTTCTGGAATAGTCCCCATCGTTGGTTGCCTGTGAACTTCATCTCTCATGCCGTAGAGGGCAACATATGAGTGAAATCCATTCTGCTCTAGTCCTGTGGTACACCTAGGTATGTAACACAGCCACGTGACACACAATAGCATTCTGTCAGTGATGCTCCACATACACCACAGTGCTCCCATGAGATTATAAGGAAGCTAACAATTTCCCACCACCTGGTGGCATCATAGCCACTGTGACATCATGCACAACACATAACTCGTGTTCATAATGATGCTAGTGTAAACAAACCTAGGCTAATGCATGAGTTTGTGTCTTCCTTTTTACCAAAAATGAGTAAAAAGTAAAAGAAAAAGAGTAAAAATGGAAAAAAGTTTACAAAATAAAAATACAGGATGGAAAATATTTTTGTACAGCTGTACAATGTGTTTTAAGACAAGTGTTATTACAAGAGTCAAAAAGTTACAAAAAAGCATATAACGTAAAAATGCTTTAGTAAGCTAGGGTTCATTTATTATTGAGAAAATAAACTTTTTAATATAAATGCAGCATTGCCTTGTGTTTGTTGTAAAGTATACCATAGGCGACAGCAATGTCCGAGGCCTTCACACAGCCTCCCAACTCCTCACTGAGACCCTGAGCGACTCCCAGTTCTACGAGCTCCAGTCATAAGTACCCATGGAGTACTTTAATCTTTCTCTCACACTTGTACTGTAGCTTTTCTAGGTTTAGATACAATGGGGTTCATAAGTACTAGCCATTGTGTGACAGTTGCCTACGGTACTTGGCACAGTAACATCTGTACAGGTTTACAGCTTGGACGCCATAGGCTAAGTCATGTAGCAGGTGTGCAGTAGGCTAGACCACTTCCATTTGTGTGAGTATGATGCTCACACAATAATGAGATCACCTAAGGACATTTTTTCTTAGTCAAGTGATACATGACTATGTATGAAAAAATTCATCACACCAGGGGAGAGAAGAAAAATTACTGAGACAACTGACTAGCACTTCAGGTAAAAATCTGAAGTTTGATTTTTTTCATATATCATACATCCACATAAATTCCAGGTAGATAGAAGAATAAAATATTAAAAACTAGAAGAATAAAATCTTCAAAAGCTAGAAGAAAATGTAGATAGCCATAGTAACCATGTGATCTTAGAACTGCATGAAGACAATTAGAACATTTAAGTGAACCATCCTCTATCCCAGTTCTACAAAATATGGGTAAAGAGAAGAGACCCTGAAAAATAAACTGAAGATAACAGGTGTTGCCTCTAGCTGGTGGGATTAGGGGGTAGTAGCTACTTTCTTCTTTGAGCTGTTATTTTCAAAATCTTTAATACAATAAGCATGTGTTAATTTTATAATTAGAAAAAAATGAACATGATCTTGATGGCAGCAGAGAATCTTAAGTTTAATTTGGATCCAAGACTGAGATAGGAGGCGCAGGCCTCCCATCCACTTTTTGCTGCACTATGCCACCACTGACTGTGTCTGTGTTGAGTAAAAGGGCCTCAGGAACCTGGATCTCTAACTGATATGTGGACCTCCACCTCTCTTCCTGTAGGAGCACGCCATCAGAGAACTGTCTGGGCCAGGGCCCTTCACAGTGTTTGCACCTTCGTCTAATTCCTTCAATGAAGAACCCCGGGTAAGCATGAGGCTGTGGACAGGTGGAGGAAGTCTGGAGGCAGAACATAGTTTGGGGACCTTGCCCTGGAACCAACAATGGCAATGTTTCCAGGCAGGAGATTTAGGATCATGCAGATCTGAGCAGCAAAAAAGGGGCATGTCTGTCAGCACAGGGAGCCTTGCATGGAATCTTTGGGTGGATTTGGAATAACACTGGCTGGAGAACTTCTAAAAGACATTCTGACACTGAGTGGGATGTTAGAGAAGATTAGTAAATCTCCAGTGGTCCAAACCTCCCATAGACAGGAAGGAAGAGAGGGAGGGAGAGAAGAAAGGAGGAAGGGAGGAAGGGGGAAGAGAGGAAGGAAGGGAGGAAAGAAAGGGGGAAAGGAAAGGGAGGAAGGGAGGGAAGAGGGAGGCAGGAAAAAGGAAGGAAAATGGAAGGGAGGGAAGGAGGGAAGGTGAAAGAAAGGAAGGAAGGAAGGGTACGGGGAGGGGGGTTGCAGAGCTTACCAGAACCTTTACTGTTCTAGTGTTCACTGGGGCTGCAGTGATAACTAACATTTGTTGGGTGTGCCAGGCACCATTCTGCGTGCCTGGCCTGGATTAATTCATTTGGTCCTCACATCAAACTTGTAAGTTGAGCACTACCATGATCTCGTTTCACACTGGAACATCGAGGGAAATGACTTTTCCAAAGCTGCATGACCAGTAGGTGGTGGACAAAACCTCGTTCTTCACCACTGCCCACGCTGCCTCTCTGTGCATATATTTGGGACACCAAATCAAAAAAGTCAAGTTTGACACTTGACTTTTGAAAGCATCAAAGGCGTTATCCTGAAACAACGGGAATTTTGTGGACTTTTTATTACATTGACTTTATGATTAACAGTGTTTGTGTTTTGTATTCCAAAGAGAGATACGCTGTGATCTCTTCTAATACTAAAGTTTAAATGGGGCCCTGTCACCTCTCCACGTGGCAAAGTACAGTGCAGTCTTTTCTGGCTCATTTCCCAAGAGAATTCTTTCTGTGAGGAGCATGGTGTAGGGATTTGGGGTCCTTGCGACCAGTGCTGTGAAAGACTGGGCCACAGGAGTGCCAGGTTTCTACTACACTGAGATCGTACGGTGGAGGCAGGAAAGGAATGAGGGCCACCCTGTCCCTCTTGCCTAAACGCCTCTCCCTGGCCCCTGACACAAACCAAGCCTGAAGCCCTCCTCCCAGAGCCTGGGTGGGGAGAGAGGCAGAACATGGAGTGGAGGAGAGAAGAGAGGTTGGATCCAAAAGCTCCTGCCTCCTACCTGAGCACTCGATCCCCTATTCCAGATCAAAGACTGGGACCAACAGGGCATGATGTCCCAGGTTCTTCGATATCATGTGGTCGCCTGCCAACAGCTGCTCCTGGAAAACCTTAAATTGACCCCAAATGCTACTTCCCTCCAAGGAGAGACACTTGTCATCTCTGTCTCTCAGGTAAGGGCGGCCACCTCAGGAAGGTGTCCGTTCTCTTTACGTTCTCTCTCTCTCCTCCTTTTCCTTAGAGCAAAGCAGCAATAATAATTACTTAATTTTGTTGAGTGACATCTATATGAAGGTGCTTTTCTAAGTATTTTACATGTAGGACTCATTTAATCCTCAAAATAACCCCATGATATAAACACTATTATCCTCAATTTCCAAAAAAAGGAAATTGAGAGGTTAAGTAACTTGTCCAAGGTCACATTGCAAGAAAATAGTTGAGCTGGAATTCATACTCAGAGGCAGGGCAGCTCCAGGTAGGCTAGGAAGGAAAGTGGAGGGGGTGATATAGAGATTACATATTAAAAAGAAGCATGCCAGATGTGGTGGTAATCCCAGCTACTCAAGAGGCAGAGAAAGGGAGGATCACAGGTTCAAGGACAGCCCTGGCCAGAACTTAGTGAGGACCCCCTCCTATCTCAACAAATAAAGTACATGCCTGTGGTCCTAGCTATATAGGACACATAGGCAGAATAATCACAGTCAAAGGTTGACCAGGGCAAAAACACAATACCCTATCTGAAAATAAATAAAGCTAAAAAAAAAAAAAAAAAGCTGGGTGCATGGCTTAAGTGGGAGAGCACCTGCCTAGCAAGCACAAGAGCCCGAGTTGAAACCCCAGTACCCCCAAAGAAACAAGCAAATAAAAAGCCAACTGTGAGTCACTTGCTTGTTTAAATTTCAAAATTCCATTGAAATGACTGTTTTGCTTGGTTATATATTATTTGTTATGACCTTCTCCACATGAAAGTTACATTCTTGTCTGGTTTCATTTTGTAATCATAATGAAAACATGCTCATATAACTCAGATCTCTAGACACATTTAACTTATCACACAAGCATTCTGTGAGAGGTGATTTTGTGTCATCTCTCTATGCTAATTTCCTTTTCTTCCCTTTTGGCTGATTTCAGGGCACAGTATATATAAATAACGAGGCTAAGATCATATCCAGCAATATCGTCAGTACTAACGGCGTCATCCACATCATAGACAAACTGCTCTCTCCCCAACATTTGCGTGTCACCCCCAAAGACGCTTTGGGAAGGATTCTGGTAGGTGAACTCACTGCCATTTTCTCAGCATGGTGTGACCCCTACCTACCTTATCATCTCAATTCCCACCTGGAGGCATCACTTGGAAACATTGTAACTTTGCTGCTCCAATCTCAAGCCATCATTAAAAACCTAGTAAACATTATTCTTACAAGATGCAAATAAGCAAAGGTCTATTTTAAACCAATACTTGGATTGTTTTAGTCAGTCACAGTAGCATACACCTGTAGTCCCAGCTGCTCAGGAGATTAAGGCAAGAGGATCACTTAAACTCAGGCATTCAAGGCTGGCCCAGGACAGTATAGTGACATTCAGTCTCATAAAAATATTTAAAAATAACAAGATAAATGGTTTTATAAGATTTTATTTAGTGTCCACAGGGGCTGGTAGTCTTGCATAGAATTGGAAGATAGAGAATAAAAAGAGAGAGAGAGAGAGAGAGATGGAAAGAGAAAGAGAGAGAAAGGAAGGAAGAAAGAAAAGACAGGAGGGAGGGAAACACGTGATTGACAGGTAGATAGAAAGATACTAGATATCACTAAAAGTAAACCTGGAATAAAACACCTTCTCAATGGACACAAAAGACCATTTTAACTTATACTTTTATTTTTATATTACTATTGACCAGGGTCCTTCAATGCAGACAGCTGAATCTGCTATATCTTGCTTACACAAAAAGGAGTTTCTTAAGATATTAGGTACATCACCAAGTCTCTTAGAAGGCTGGAACCTAACTTAGAGGCTACAAGCTGGGAACAAAGCAGCACAGGAAGACCTACAAAGTGAGGTCCCCTGACCCCCACAGAGAGCTGTTCTGCCTATAACAGCTCTGCAGATTCTACCTCTCCAGCCCCACCACCCAGAACACTATGCACTGGACAGCAGGTGCCTGCACCACTGTACTTCTGAAAGCCTCATGTCCCTGCTAGCAGCCACTACCTCCTCAGGCTGTTCCTTTCCACCAAGTCTTTCTCAGAGCTTCTGCTTCATGGACCCTGAATCATCTGTGAGGCTCTAGCTGCAAGGGAGTCAGAAAATGTAGTGCTTAGCTTCCAGCCCCTATCATGCAAGAAAGCCTGGACAGAAGAGAGCTGGTGTGGTGCTCATGAGCTGGTCTGTGTGCTCTTATCTTCATTGTACTCAGTTGAGCTTTTGTTAAAGTATCTAGTGAACTGTCTGAAGATAGCTTTTACGTTCATTCTTCTTATCTTTACAGCAAAATCTTACCACAGTGGCAATAAACCATGGCTACAACAGATTCATCAAGTTAATACAGGTAAACACATAGGGGAAAGATGACTCAGGGTATCCTGCCTTAAGAAGTTGTGTTTTCTTGGGTTTGCTTGTCTGTGTTTACACCTGTCAGCTGTTGCAGGATCTGTGTAGGAAAGTTCTGATTTTTTGAAGAGCAAAGTCATTTTCTGCCTCTATTCTCAAAATGTTATATTGTTTGTTGAGCTGCATAATGTACATTGGTTGAGTTAGAAGTTAAATTATTTGTGACTGGGGAAAGGGAAAGACACTGGGGTGTGCCAGTCCTGGACTAGATGGTTCACATCTGGAATCTTCAGCTCCACAGTACATACGGGGAAGCTGAGGCGGAGAGTGAGGGTGTAGCTGCCTGGGAGGAGTTCAGAAACTGTTCCCAAGAATTGAGTAGACCCTTCTCATTCAAGCAAGAGATTATGAAGGTGAATCAGGGACAAACAGGCCAGTGTCCTTCAGAGGCTACCGCTCCCTCACCCCTGAGCTGTCCCAAGAACCATAGTGTCCCCATATCGCAGTTGATAAATCTCTGCATTAGACCAGCAATTCCCAAAATGGTCCAAGTCTCAGACTCTCTAGGAGCTCATTAGAAATGGGCCTTAAGATGTTCGGAATGAGACTCTCCAAGGATGTGACTAGTAAGTAATCTTTGACCACTTACCCACCCCACCCCCAAACTCCCGTCATCCCACACCTTTGCATCATGGGGGTCTGGTTGAGCATAGGCTTTTAGAGCAGGTTAGCAAGCCTCTCTACAGCTCAGTAAAAGAAGAAGATAAAACCTGCCTCATGGGGCTGTTGGAAAAATTCAAAGAAAAATGAGTATGATGTACCCTGGTTACAGAGGCTCTCAAAATGATCCCTCGCTATTCGTCTTACAATTTCTTTGGGAAGTATTTAAAACCTGTAAATTTTAAAAATATCAGGAGTATTTCAATATTACATAGGGTTTACTTTTTAAATGAAATATGAGAAAAATGCTAGTGGTCTTTCAGAAGTTAAATGATTTGGGCAGAAGTTACATTAAAAAAGATATTCACTAAACTTTATTTTCCTAAAAACAAAAGCATAGCATTTGACTTTTTGGCTTACTTTCTAAGGCAGTGTGGGTCAGCGTGGTTGGAACGTGGTGAGCCTCTAGTTTCTGGCTGTGTCACCCTTGAGCTATCAGGAGCCTTGACAAGCCATGGGCAGGGTACAAAAGGGATTATTTGGATTGATCCTCTGCCCACATGGTGGGGCTTTGCACATAGTGTGTGCAGCACCAGGGAGAGGCTCACTCCTTGTGTTTCAGGACTCAGGCTTGCTGAGTGTCATCACTGACCCCATCCACACCCCAGTCACGCTGTTCTGGCCCACGGACCAAGCCCTCCAAGCCCTACCCTCTGAACAACAGGAGTTCCTGTTCAACCAAGACAACAAGGACAAGCTGAGAGAGTATTTGAAGTTCCACGTGATCCGAGATTCCAAGGTATTTTGTTTACATGCACAAGTGAGTGAGGGAATATCCCAGGGGATGGTACAGCCCAGGCCTGAGGCACTGGGGCCCAGCAGTTCTTGGTGTGTCCTGTGGCCATGAAGGGAAGTCCACTGTGTCCTCTTCTAACTGGCCATGGTTCATTGCACCCTGAATTACACCAGGCCCACTTCTATTTCCTGGACCAATCCCAATACCCAAGAACACCCTTCCTCTCCCGAACCGTACACCAGCCTTTCCTCTTGCAAAAATGGCAGCTGACCCCAGCTCCCAAGTTTTTCCTGATGGACTCTATCTCTCTCAAATCCAAAACTCTTAAGCAAATGGCTGGCTAATCTTGATGCAATCTGCTCCTGACACCACGTACCCCCAGCCCCCCCACCACCCATGGACCCAAACAGCTGTATTGGAGAAGCCAGATTGGGTGGGAACATGGAGGCCATTCTGAATCCTCAACCCAGTCTCACGTTTCTCCAGGGCCAAGGCCATCCACTCCAGGAACTTCAGATCCCCAGCTTCAGTTCATTCATAGCACCAGGACTACTTTCCAAGGGCTACATAACAAATTACCACAAACTGGGTGGGTTGAAACAGCCCAAATGGATTCCCTCACAGTTCCAGAGGCTGGACTCCTGCAATCAGGGGGCCAGCACGGTTGTTCCTTCTGGGGGTCCTGAAAGAGAGAGTCTGTTCCCTGTGTCTCTCCTAGCTTCTGGTAGTTTCTAGGAATCTTTGGCTCTCCTCCTTGCCTTGTGGCTGCATCTCTTTAATCTCTACCTCTTCTCCCTCTGTGTCTGGGTGTTGTCATATGGCCTTCTTCTTTCTTATTCTGAGGACATTATTTATATTGGATTAAAAGCCCTCCCTGTTCCAGGATTCTCTCGATTTACATAATTACATCTGCAATGACCTTGTTTCCAAATATTCTAAGATTTCCAAAATTCCGAGGTCCTACTGGTCAAGATAGCCACATAACTTTTTGAGGGGCACAATTCAGCCCTCAATGGCACCCAGTCCATTTTCCAACCAAATCCACTCATCCTTTCATGGACTTCCTACACAGAGCCAGCATCTTCCAGGACATCCAGGCAAACATGGGGAAGGGTTATTGACATCAGCCCAGCTAGATGAGACTTCGTCCAGGAGGAATTTCCAACCTGCTAAAGAGCTCAGGATTATTTTTCTTTTTGATTACATTTACTGTCATTTTAAAGCTAGACTTTTTAATAACTTGTGGGAAAACTTGCATCTCAATTTGATTTGTTGGCACAGCTCCTTCTAGCCCTTCCTCAGCCCAAATGTGAGGTACTAATGAGGTATCATCTCTCCGGCAGGCCTTAACTGCAGATCTCCCCAGATCGGTTTCCTGGAAAACCCTGCAGGGCTCAGAGCTAAGTGTGACGTGCGGAACTGGCAGTGACATTGTGAGTGTCGTGCCCAGGGGAGGCAGTGAGACATACATGAACAGCAAGCCATTCTCCAACCACTTTTTGTTTTCCGTCTTCCAGGTTTTTTTCCTGAGAGCACATAGTGACTACAAAAACTGCATAAACTCTGGCCAGTTTTTGCTTTTGGTTTTTGTTTTGTTTTGGGGGAGGATTATTTGTTTGTTTTTTAGTTCTCTCTGAATCTCATAGGTGTTGGTCACATTGTATGACCTGGGAGGGAGGAAGAGAGGTCTGACAGGGATTGTTGACTGTTTCACTTTCTCGCTCTCTCTCTCTCTCTCTCTCTCTCCCTCTCTCTCTTTCAGGGTGAGCTCTTTCTAAATGGCCAAATGTGCAGAATCGTGCAACGGGAGCTGCTGTTTAACCTGGGCGTAGCCTATGGCATTGACTGTCTGTTGACGGATCCCACCCTAGGGGGCCGCTGTGACACTTTCACTGCTTTCAATGTTTCGGTCAGTCCTAAAAAACACCACTGTAGTAAGAGAACCTTGGGCCAAAGGCCAGCCCTTGTGATAGCGGGTGGGCCCTACTGTGAAACCTCTGAGGTGAGTCCTGAGTGAGACCAGACCCAAGAGGCTTAAGGCCCAGGTGATGGACTTCTTCAGGTTCAGAATCAACAAGTATCTGCCTAGCCTGACACTGGCCTTGAATGTTCTTGCTTATCTACCCGCCCCCCCATCAATTCACTCCTTCATCATTACAGAAACAGTTATTGGGTACCAATTGTGTGCCGTTTATTCTGCCATTCATTTTCAAATCCATCCATCTACTTATTCATCCAACAGTTTTTGAGATCCCATCAGATTAAATAAAATAAAGCTGCCATATTAGACAACATATCACCCACAAAAGTGGCAATTTCATATGGTCCAAGCTAATATTATATGCCCACTCAACTCCATTCATTCATTTCACAGCATTGATAGAGGTTCTGTGCTAGGCCCTTCACTGAGCTAAACATTTTCACATTCACCCTCCCTCACTCATCCAGTGCCATTTATTGAGCACAACTTTGAGCCAGCCCTCTGCTCCATGTTCATCTAACCCCTCACAATAATCCAATAATGGGAGTGGTTATCACCACCACCACTCCATATATTTAGAAATTGAGTCTCCAAGAGGTGAAGTGGCTTCACATGGCAAAGTTTGTCACCAGTTAATACCAGTTGCTAGCTTTTCATAGGCATTCAATTGATAATCCCAAATTTTTAGAGTACCAGTCAACCAAAGTAGGAGGAGAAGGCAATCATCTTTTCAGTTTCAGGGGTTGTGGCCTTCTTAATTTCCAAATATATACACACACATTTTCCCATCAATCCATGAAGATCCACACAGCAACAAAAAATTATTGTCCCCACCTTATGCATCATAAAATTAAGGGTCAAAAGGCATAAGGGATTGGCCAAAATATCCCAGATAACTTAAAATGAATGACACTTGCCTCCACACTTCCCACCATTACTACCATATGCCTGTGTCACACTGCCTCAGACCATGCTATAGAACAGGAAGCTTCTTTCAAAGAAATGAGATCCAAAAAAACCTTCAGAATTCTCGATGGCAAAGTGGCAGTGTGTTTATGTTTATCTTAATCATAACCAGAATCTTAATCAAGATTAAGTTATAATCAACATATCTGGCATTAACTGGGGACATTTACTTGTGTTTTCCAATATTCTTGATCTTAAATTTTCTATCCTGTACACCAGGGAGATTGTGGAAGCTGTATCAATACACCCAGATGCCCAAGGTGGAGCAAACCAAAGGTAATCAAAAATGCAGTGATAGCGCTGGAGACCCATTGCATGCTTCCTTCTCAGACCTCAGTCTTCTGGTGGGTGTGTCTGTGCATGGTGGGGCAAGGGGAGGCTGGAGTGTGTGGTATAATTGTAATTTGTGTCATTCTTCCAACAACCAAGCCAGTGGGGTGAGAGATGAACATTCTGGGCCCAGACATTCTGTTAATCTACTACCCCTTCCCTAGGAACTGCCTAGAAAAATCATGGGATTGTTGACCTCAATAGTGATCAAAGATGATTATAATTAAAAAAATAATGACTGTATTGTTGGATGTTATGGTATCCATGTCCTAGGCTCTGCACTGGGAGATAAGATTAGATAGATAGATAGATAGATAGATAGATAGACAGATAGATAGATAGATAGATGATAGATAGATAGAGCCCAGAAAACCACAGAGAGTAATGAATTTTGGAACCCACAGGTGTGGGGTCAAATTCCATCATTCTTTGGCAAGTTACATGATCTACCCATAAAATGGAGCTAATAACAATTCAGCATGCAATTATCAGAAAAAAATAAAATTTTAAATGGGGCTACATTTAAGTGCTAGGCATATGGTAAGTTCTCATGAAACACTGTTTTTGTTACTTTTTCCAAAGTCAAGGGCTGGGGATGCAGCTCAGTGGTAGAGTGCATACTTAGCAGGTACAAAGCCTTGGGTTGGATCCCCACGCAAACAAACAGAAGTCAAGCTCTTCTACTCTACTAGTAAAACCTCTAACAAAAACACCTCCTCAAAACAAAGTGTAACTCGCACCCTCAAGGCTGGAGATTTCCATGATAGGAAGCCTCCTCTACCCCACTTGTCACTAGGCAACCATACCATTTGCAAACAGCTCCAAGGGCCAGAAAGTCCTTTTAAGACTCAGAAGAAATCCTGCGCAGGACTGAAGCTCCGCCCCCTCCCACTTCGCCCTGGGCCTATGGCCTTCCAAGTCCCATTTTCCACCTGGGCAGTACCGAGATCGTCCACTGGGGGCGGACTAGAGTCCTGGCCTGCAGTGCAGGTGGCAGGAACACGCATCTCTCTTCCTCTAGGGTGCGAAGCAGAAGTGTCTCTACCACTTGCTGCCCTACAGGAGGAACGTGGAAGGCTGCCGGCAGCAGTGCACCCTGGTGATCCAGCTTCCCAGGTGCTGCAAGGGCTACTTCCTGCCAGACTGTCAGGGTGAGGGCGCCTCTTCGCCTCGTGATTCTGCAGGGACTGTGGGTTCCTGAAAGAACCCAAAGCCCTAAGGAAGGAGATGGAGATCACCCTCCTTATGATTCCCAGGCCCCACAGGGACCACTCTGAAGAGCTGCGTGTCTTGTCTCTCTTTCTGCCTTATTCACTTGCCATATTTTGTGGTTTACTGAGTTGATTCTACTGTGCATATATTCCGTCTTTTTTGAAAGTAGAGCAGACATTCCTCATCATGCTAAAACACCATATATTTAATTTTTGAGGCTATGCAACATCTGTGACATTGATAAAATGTCTCCATAAGTGCATTTGGCAGGATTCAACCCTTTGAGAGGTGATCTACTGATGTGGTATGTGGGAGCCATGATTTCCTGAAAATCCCCAGTTATGGGATGTATAGCATTCTCCTTCTTCCTTTGGGTGAGTCATGAAACCCTTGTAGCTAGATATAAAGTCTAGCAAGTTGTACATCAATAGCCTCAGCATAGCACAGGCCTGCAAGGGGTGGCCCGTGTGTCGCATGGCTCTAAGCAGCACAAGGTGAGTGCTATCTCCCATACATACCAATAATTTAGTCCTGGCAACCACCCCCAAGGAGCAGGTTCCATGTAACCTCTTTTAATAAATGATGAAATAGAAGCACAGAGATGGTAAGACACAAACCCAAGGTCACACAGACTCCAGAAGCCATGACTTTTTTCTTTCCCTGTATATTTCACTCACCCTAATGTAGGTGGAATATTCTGGGCCAAGAATCCACACACTCACCCAGCCTCCAGCCTCCATCACTAAACTGTGGACCACTCATAAAAGTCAGTGTCATCCCTTAAATTTGTTCAGCACTTTAAATTCTTTTTTTTTTTTTTTGGCAGTACTGGGGTTTGAACTCAGGACCTCATGCTTGCTAGGCGGATGCTTTTCCACTTGAGCCACTCTGCCAGTCCTTTTTGTTTGGGGTATTTTTAAGGTAGGGTCTGATAAACTGTTTGTCCAGGCTGGCCTCACCTTGATCCTTTGATTTCTGCCTCCTAAGTAGCTAGGATTACAGGCATGAGCCACCAGTGCTTGGCACTTTAGGTTTCTAAAAATGCTCTCAGCTATAATACCTCATTTGAGAGCCCATGGGTCAAGGGTAGCGTGCCTCCCTAACAAGCACAAGGCCCTGAGTTCAAACCCCAGTACTGCCAAAAACAATTTTTTTAAAAACCTCATCTGAGCCACACAGTAATAACATCCTGTATAGGTCAAGCAGGCACTACATCGGTATCACTGTTGTCCTTGTCATCATCATTATTTGGAGCTAAGAAAACTCAAGTTCAGAGCAAGTTCAACCCAAATGATTTCACACCCAGGCCTCTCAACTCCCAAACACAGCACACAATTCAATCTGTTGCCCTCCAAGTAGAATCATAGTCAGACACATGGATATTCATGTGTCTAGGACAGTGACTTACCCTAAGAATGCATTGGCACCCAGGCCACCTAACGGATGTGAGAACCCACAGCACATTACAGCAGCGCTAAGCTTCCCTGGGTCTGGGAGACTGCAAAGTCACCCCGTTTCATCTCTTCCAGCCTGCCCTGGAGGACCAGATACCCCGTGCAACAACCGGGGCGTCTGCTTGGATCAGTACTCAGCCACAGGACGGTGCAGGTGCAACACCGGCTTCAACGGGACAGCCTGTGAGCTGTGCTGGCCCAAAAGATTTGGGCCCAACTGTCAGCGTAAGGGACCACTTCCCTGTGCTAGCCTGCTTTTAGCTGTGCTCCCCTGTCCACATCCATGCCATCCACCTGGCCCAGGAGCACCCACCTTCCCCTTTCTGTCCTGCCACCCACCTCCCATCTGCCTGTCTCACCTGCTCTTCTTCTTGGGTGTAGTCCCAGCTTCCATCTGCTGAAATAGCCTCTCCTCTAGAGTCAAAACTCCATCTGCTGAAATAGCCTCTCCTCTAGAGTCAAAACTCACAGCCCCTGGAGCCTTCTAGAAACCTGCAGCTGACTCATTCAGTCATTCATTCCACATGTGTTTATTAAGTGCTTACTAACATTGATACTAACATTGAGTGTCTACTGTTTACCAGGCATATATGCTTTCCCATTTAATCCTCATCACAAACCTTTGAGGTAGGAACGTGTGTGTGTGTGTGTGTGTGTGTGTGTGTGTGTGTGTGTGTTGCTGGAGATCAAACCCAGGGCCTCCTGTATGCTAGGTGAGTGCTCTGCCACTGAGCTAAACGGCAGCCAGAGAGATACTATTTTAAAAGTAAATTTTGAAAATATGCAACTTATACCAGCAGATGAAGAAATCAAGGTACAAAGATATTAAGTGATTTACTCAATAGCCAGGACTTATTCTAAAGTCTAGGGGTACAGTGGTTGGAGGTGGGAAGGGGCAAAATCCCAGCTTTCAAAGGGCTTACAGAAATAAAAGTAGCTAAAAAGGCAGTAACCACGAAGAAGCAGGTGAAGGGATCAAGACTCAAAGAAGGGTACATGTCACATATTTGAGCAGAGACTCAGCAGGGGCCAGGGAAATATCAAAAGCAGGCCAGTAAGATTTGTAACAATGCTGGAGATGTTCTGAGACTCCGCTGCTCAGTACCGTAGCCACTCACCAGGCGGGGCTATGCAGCTCTCAAAATGTGCGAGCAAGGAACTCAATATTTTATTTTCATTAGTTTAAATTTAAATAGCCACCTGTAGCTAATGCCTATAGTGCCTCGCTGTGCAGATCAAAGGAGGAGAGATTCCTGGAGGAGAGATGAGTAAGTGCAAAGGCCCTGAGGCGGTAGTGGGCTTGGTACAGAAGGAACAGTAAGAAGGAGTAAAGAAGTGGGAGAGAAGAAAGAAATGAAATCTGACAGTCACCAGGGGTCAGATCACATAGGAACATCTCAGCCAGACAAAGGTTATTAGTGTGACAGCTGGTGGAAGATCATGAATAGATTAAAAAGGACCAGTCTAGCTGCCCTGGGGAGGGTATACGGTAGGAGAGCAAGCGCAGAGACAAGGGCAGGTAGGGAAACTGAGGCAGCCATCAAGGCAGGATTGAGGGTGTCTCGGGCTGGCATGGCCACTCTAGAGGCAGTGACAAGTGGCAGAATGGGTATGGACCTTTAAACTTTTATTTTAAATCAATTTCTCCATCAGGAGGCTCCTCTGAGGGAGGAGGCTCTCTCCCCTATCCGTTCTATTACATACCTGTGACTTCTGGGATTACAACACACATCACACTTCTAAGCACTTGTTCAGCTGCTGGTCCTGCACAGTAACCTCATGAAAACAGGGGCCTCCTCCATTCTGTTTTTCCCTGTGCCCCCATCGCCTAGTAGCATCTGGTCCATGGATAAGTTACTTTTTGAGTGTTTGGGCAAATGGATGATTAGGGCAAAGGTGTGGTGACTGTGCACAGAGGTCCTGGCCACCAGTTGCTGATCACCCTCCAATCTGTGTTACAGCCTGTGCCTGCTCAGACCATGGACAGTGCGACGAGGGAATCACTGGCTCTGGACAGTGCTTCTGTGAAACAGGGTGGACAGGCCGCTTCTGTGACACTCAGACAGGTGTGTCGGGGGATGGCCAGCCACTGGCAGTACCAGAGGATCCTAATGAAGGAGGCTGGGATCTCAGTCAACCTCTGAAAGAAATGACAGAGGAACTGTTTCCGTTTCCACATGGGAAAGATGACTTGGATTGTAGCCCTGAAATGCTCGAGGTTGGCCAAGGAGAGGAAAATAAGGTGGAAAGATTTCATTCACACCTGTGAAAGTAACATGTCTTCCTGTGCACATACAGAAAGGCCCAGCCCAGGCAGAGACTCTGAGGATCGTGCAGGGATGATGTGGACGCAGCAGTTGAGTGGTGTCAGGGAAAGCTCAGTCTTTGGAGCCCCAAGACCAGGATCTGACCCCTGATTTTGCTAGTCACTAGACAAATAGCCTCAGCCACTCCCCCTTCTCTGACCCTCTCCTGGCTCCATCTGTAAAGTTTGTAAAGTTGCACGCTTTGCAAGAGGACTGTTGTGAGGGTCAAGATCACAGTTTTGAAGCATCCTATGTATATGGGTGCTCAAAAGTTGTAGCTCCCATTGTCACTGTCATCATGTCCATCATCAAAACTGGTTTTGGGTTTTGTGTTGTTGTTGGGTTTTTTTGAGTTGCGGTAGTAGAGATTCAGCCCAGGAACTGGCTCTTGCTAGGCAAGCACTCTACCACTTGAGCTACACCCCCAGCCCTTTTGTTTGTATTTTGTTTTCAAGATAGGACCTCACTAACTCTGTCTGGGCTGGTTTGAACTTGAGATCTTCCTGCCTCTGCCTCCCAAGGAGCTGGGATTGCAGCTGTGTGCCACTCTGCCCAATCTTGCCTAATCTCGATCAAGATTAAACTAACAGTTTTCTGAGGCCTTCCTCAAACCCAAATCCCTATGTTCTGGAAGGTCTGAAGTATGAAGGTTGAGTTGTTCCATATACATCAATGATATTTCATTCTCTCTGACATCAGAGGGGCATCCCGAGGCTCTACCTATGGGCTTTAGCAGCCCAGAGTTTCAGAAATTCCAACAGTATGGCTGACTTCGGTTCCTCCCCTGCTCACCCCCTAAAAGCCTATGGCTTCACTGTCTTTGCACACCAGAGCTCCATCCCATCACCAGAGCTCCATTCTCCCTAAGCTCAGTGGTATCCTCGGAAGGCAGTGGAACTTCTCCTCCAATGTAACCATCTTCACCTGGGACCCCACATCCTTGGGGCCAAAGAGCTTGTCTGCTAAGTTCATCTCTGCTAGCAAGCTTGAAGGTGTAAGCTTTACTTGGTTTCCCCCCTAAGGTAACATATGTGCTTGTACTCTGGATAACCTTGCAAAGTTATCTTAAAGTAAATGAGTAATTCTAGAATCTCCAAGCTGGGAGGGTCCTTAGTGCATCACCCCATCATCCTGCCACGTGGAGTATTTATGAAACTGCAGCATCCCAAGAGAGTCTGAAGAATGCATAGGTGGGCTCCACTTCATGATACCTGGGCACAGGATGAATGGTGGCCCCTTTCTTTGCAGTTTTGCCCCCAGTGTGCACGCCTCCTTGTTCTGCTTACGCCACCTGTATGGAGAACAACACGTGTGAGTGTAACCTGAATTACGAAGGTGACGGGATAACATGCACAGGTGGGTCCCCTGTGTACACCTGTGAAATAGCCACATGGGGTGAGACAGGAGCAAGAAGTGGTCACAGTGCCTGGGCTCCTTCCTGGCTCCTCTACTTCCTGCTTGGGCCTGTTCCACAATGCCTACCCTTCTCTAGGACTGTTTCCTTCACAGGTTTGCTCACAGGCCATGGTTTTGAAATTGCTTTGGAAAACAAAATGCCCTTTATTTTATAGTGTTCTTTTTCCCTAACTGAACAAGTAATTCACTCTTCAAAATATTCAGAAAATGCACTACAGTATCAAGAAAAAAGTTACACCTACACATTCCGTGGCCCTCAGTGAGAACCACTGCGTGTCTATAATAGTTAGGATATGGGCTCAGCCATAGGGTCCCAACGGAACCGGACAGGCAGGTGAAACCAGGCAGCTTTCCAGCTGCTCCTCACCCCCTTAGCTTGCGTATTCTACCATTGAAATTGGGGGTTGTGATAACGATGGTCCTAGAAGCCAAAACAACACAGAAGGGAGAAACCAACCAACGTTTAAATCCCGGGCCTGCCATACTCTAGCTGTTTTACCATGTCAGGTCAGGTAAGCTTTCTGAGACTCAGTGTGTTCATCCACAGAATGGAGTCTGCCTCACGAGGTGTCCATAATAACTCTACAGACACATACACACACACACATAACCTGTCCTAACATTAACCCAAACTCACTCTGAAAACTACCAAAATTAGTCCAGAGGTATGTGACAAGGACGGTGGACAGAGGACACCAGGCCTGTTCTGTCAGGGTGTCACAAGGATACTAGCATTGCAGAGCCTAGCAGAGAGGCACAGAGTGTGGAGACAAAGGCACAGAGATGGGGACAGCACACTGGTGTGGATTGCCTGGGACCCCCATTCTGAAGCTCCAGTTGCATGGAGGGAGCAAATGGAGACCTTTCTCCTGCTTTTGCAGTTGTGGATTTCTGCAAACAGAACAATGGAGGTTGTGCCAAGGTCGCCAGATGCTCCCAGAAGGGCACCAAAGTGTCCTGCAGCTGCCCGAAGGGCTATCAGGGGGATGGCCACAGCTGCACAGAGATAGACCCCTGTGCAGATGGCCTCAATGGGGGGTGTCATGAGCATGCCACCTGCAAGATGACCGGCCCGGTGAGTCCTGCTTCCCAGAGGACATTTGAAAGAGCAGCGCCTTTGTCTGGTCAGTCCTTGCTTCTCCACCTGCCTGGCCTCTGCTTACCCTTTGACCTCTTCTCTGCTTTCTTCCCCTCTCAGTCTGTTTCTTGTTAAAAATCAGTGAGCTAAATGAATTTGGTAGACTCAGCAGAAAAGAGACATTAGTGGAAATACTGCTGAAATCCAAATACAAATTCCTTTGTTAAAAGGAATATACCAACATTAAGTTTTTAGTTTTGACAAATGTTCAAAACTCGTGTTGGATAAGATGTTAACATGAGGGGAAACAGTGGGTTGTAGAACGCTATTCCCTCTGCTGTCTTTGTGACTTTCCTAGAATTCTAAAAAATTTATTAAACAAACAAGCTGATAAGAGACATAAAAAGTGGTGCTCAGGTCTTTTTAGAATGGAATCCATCCTGTTTCTCTGGTGAGGAGAGAAGGTGGTGGGAGATGATGGCTGTTACTGGTTACAAATGGGGACTTAGTGGCAGGCCACCTTTGAGACTTAGCTTCTGAACTTATGGGCTGTTTGGCCTGGGCCTGGCCACCTAACATCCCTGAGCCTCAGTTTCCTCACTTGTAAAGTGGGCCTAATAATACTACAGACATCATAGGGTTGGTGTGGTGATTAAATTAGAATATTCATTGCTTCCACAAGTGGACCTGAAGTACCTACTGCAGGCTGTTGCAGGCACAGAGACAAAGCAATGAAAAGACAGACAGGGTCTCTGGCTTCCAGCAGCTCATGCACAGTAAAGGGAAGGGGGTAGTGCTTGGCGCAGAAACAGGCACCCATGACCCTTTCAGAGGGCATGAAGAGCTGTGAAGAGCACAGGTCATGGAAGGGACCTCAAGAGCTAGTTTCTGAGGGTTTCTCTGAGGAAGTGACATCCACACTGAGGTGATAAGGATGGCAGTTTCATCATGAGCCTATATATTTATTGGTCCTTGAGTGGCTTTGGCTTGTTTCACAGATGTGGTCATCACAGTGAGGCAGTTTTTACATATCTCAATAACCACTATTGATTTAACTCCTGTCATACACCAAACTCTGAGACACACTCCAGAGCCCTTCTGGAATGAGACAGAGGAAGCAGAAGCAAAGAAAATACAAAAGCAAGACATGGCCATTATTTCACTCCCACTGGACAGAGAGGTGCATTCTCTGGGTCTTCTGAGCCCCTCCTGTGCTAGATGGGTGTCTCCTGGGCACCTGGGTCCCAGAGTCCTGAAAAAGGCCTTCTTTTATCTTTCCCCACCCTCTTCCCACAGGGCAGGCACAAGTGTGAATGTAAGAGTCACTACGTGGGAGACGGGCTGGACTGTGAGCCAGAGCAGATGCCCCTCGACCGCTGCTTACAGGACAATGGGCAGTGCCACGCAGATGCCAACTGTGTCGACCTCCACTTCCAGGGTCAGTGTGGCTGGGGCCACTGGCCCAAAGCACCTTTCTTGGGGAAGGGGTCTGTACAAGAGTTAAAAAAAAGGCAAAACAAAATAAATACAGACCAAAGAGTGCACGCATTGCCCAGACCCAGCGAAAGTAGCGGAGGGGCAGAGCCAACGCACAAGTGGGCCTTGAGCTATAGGACCAGGAGGGAGCTCAAAGGCTGCCTGCCCTGGTTTTCCCGAGGCTTGCTCCTCTTACATTGCTTAGCAGCCTTATAACTATTGGCTGGAACTGAATCCGGGAAGCACAGCTTAGAATGTGCAATAGCAAAGAAGTGCCTGCCTCTTGTGGAAGCAATTTCTTAACAGTGGTTTGGATGGTAGCACATTGATTGGCATGTACTCCATGGATTTCCAAAGATGCTTTGAATGGCTTATAATAAACTCATGTGTAAACTAACTCAAGAAAGTAAAAAGGCTTCATGTGGAAGTGCAGTGGCCCAGATGACAGGGCATCTTGAAACCCTATGTAGGAAAGCTGTGAAGGATCCACAAATGTAGTTCTGAGCCAAAGCAAAAAGGGACTTTTGAATGTGACTCAGGGCACTACAGACTGTGGCCAATCAGTATTATTATTTTTTTTTTGAGATCTCTGAGTGAACTTGGCTTTGTTTAATAGAAGGTGACATCTTAGGCAGTTTTTACATATCTCAATAATGTCAAATCAATTGATTTGACAACCTGTCAACACCAAACCCTGAGACACATTTCAGGTCCTTTCTGTGATGAGATTGAGGAAGCATCAGCAGAGAAAATACAGAGGACATACAAGACATTGTTCCTTCAAAAAGAGTCCTGATGCAACTGAGGAACTTTTTAAAAAACTGAAGGAAAAAAGAAGCAAGAAAGAGCACAGGAATTTATCTCATACTCTTGCATCTGAAGTGAAAGAGCAAGAATAGTCAGAGAAGAATTGATAGCAGAACTCAGATGCTGTTTGTAGACCCATATTTACAGCATTATTCACAAAAGCTAAAAGGTACAAACAACCCAAGTGTCTATCCATTGATAAATAAAATATAGTGGAATGTTATTCATCTGATAGATGCTACAACATGGAGCAACCTTGCTAAGTGGAATAAGCTACCAGAAAGACAAGCATGTGTGACTCAGCTACCTGAGTTACCTAGAGTAGGCAGATTCATAGGGACACAAGTAGAATAGAGGCTCCTGGAGGGAGGGGAGGAGAGAATGGAAAGTTAGTCTCTAAAGGGTGCAAAAGTTTCTGTTTGGGATGATGGAAATATGCCAGAAATGGTCACCAACCTTGTAGATGTGCTTAAGAGTTTACACTTGAAATGGTTCAAAGGGTAAATTTTATTTTAGGTTTTATCACAATAATTAAAAAAAAAAAAGCTATAGTCAGAGAAGGGAAATCTCCCTAGGTGAGGTAAGAGAAGTCTTTAGAGACGCTGAATAGAGGCTATGGTGGAGATCTGATGGACGCTGGAATAGGGCCAACACAGAGGAGCTGGGGAGACCTTTGTGCTGAGAGACAATGTGGAAAATTATCCAGGGTCAGTGGAGAAGGATGAGGCCCTGGCATGGGGAGGGGCAGAGTATGGTGTCAAGGCTGTGATCCCATGGTATCAGGATGTATACTGAGCAGAGGATAAAGATGAGAGAAAAAAGAACAGACAGTGGACAGAAGTGTGAAGAAAAGGAAAAGCTCCCCAGCAGGCAAGGTTTCCATCCTGTGAGACCCAGTGCAGTGGTGGTTCTGGGCTGAAGTAGATGAGGAGGGAAAGTGACAAGACAGTGGAGAGCTTGGTTGGGGACATTTTATGTTCTAGGTGGTGGCAGAACTTCACGCAGAAATCTTTAATAACAGTTGCTGTTGGGACGGGGGCAAAATGAGCAGCTGGCACCAGGCAGTTTGGGAGCCATGTGCCCCCGGGGAAGTCAGAAAGTGCTTGGTCAACCACCCTGCCTTGTCCCACAGCTCACTCGCAGGTAGAAATCCACACAGCTCATGGAGCAGCTCCACAAGCCTTGACAGCCCTTTAAAATCCCTTGTCAGAAGCACTGCCAACTGGGTGAGCTGAGTGGGTGATTCCTCTCCTTCCTCTTCAGATACCACTGTTGGGGTATTCCATCTCCGCTCCCCACTGGGCCAGTACAAGCTGACCTTCGACAAAGCCAGAGAGGCCTGTGCCAAGGAAGCAGCAGCCATGGCCACTTACAACCAGCTCTCCTATGCCCAGAAGGTGGGTCCCTGTAAGTGGACACTGTGCAGGCAGTGATACAGGGGGCAAGCAGTTGCTTACTTGAAGGCAAGCCCAGGAAGCTCCTAGAGTTTCCTGACATCATGTCCAGTGTCAGGCATCTACTATGTAACAGGCACTGTGTAGGGTGCTTCATTCACTGACAAAATGTATCCATCCTTAAGACATCCTGAAGGTAGGGGAGCTCTTATCATTTTACATATAGGGAAACCCAGGCTCAGTACATAACCAAGGTTAAGTAAAATGTCCAACGTCACCCATCTAACAGTGGTAGAGCCAATATTCACATGGAATCCTGACTCCAAAGCCTTTTTTATTCTCAACTGTAATGTCCACCTGTCAAAACAGAGACAGACACTAGAAGTGCCTACATCACAGGTGGAAACCAGCAAGAGCAGTAACCACAAGCCTGGATAGGGTCTCCCTGAACTCAGAAAGCAGTAGCTCTGGGGCTATGAAGGAAACACATGGAGAGTGCCCTAGCTCCCATCCTCAGCAGGGAGGAATTGGGGCTCCTGGTCAAGATTGCCCTCTTAGCCTCTGAAACCAGAAGCCCTGCCCATTGGGAAAAGCCAGCACTTTGGAGTTCCTGGTAGCGATTTCTCACTGGGATCATAAGAAGTGACTGCCTACCTGGTCTGATTTGGAGGCCCTCCCTTCATCACTGCCAAAGCTCTCTACCTTTCTTTAGGCCTGACATTTCTTTTTGGCAGCACTGGGGTTTGAACTCAGGGCCTCACACTTGCAAGGCAAGCACTCTTACCACTTGAGCTACCCTGCCAGCAGACCTCACATTTCTTTACCAAAGAACAAAGCTTTTGATGCCAGGAGCCAGCATCTTGGAGGGACTGAATCTCTTCTCTCCTTGCTTGCTGTATACCCTTGATCAAACCACTGAAACCTTGCTTCTTCCTTGCATGTCTGTATAAGGACTTAAGGTCACACAGCACAAAGTAGGCAATCAGTTTTCAAATTTTTAAGAGATCTGGAATAAATTGGGTTTGAGTCTGCTACTGACTGACTGAACAGGTTATGTAACTTCTCTTTGCCTCAGTCATCTCAATTATAGAATAAGGATTTTAAAAGTTCCAACTTCATAGGATTAATATGAGGGTAAAATGTGTCATCATGTGGAAAACCCTTCCAAGAGAACCTGGCCCCAAATAAGCACTCAGTAAGGGTTATGATTATGATGGTGGTGGTGGTGATGAAGGATGGGGGTAGGGGAAGAAGAGGGGAAAGGGAAGAAGGAGGAGGGGGAAGAGAGGGAGGAGGAGAAAAAGAAGAAGGAAGGAAGGAAGGGAGGGAGGGAGGAAGGGAGGGAGGAAAGGAGGTGAGCTTTTTCTCTCGCTCCTTTGTTGGAGTGAGCTTTCTCTCACTCCAGGTTATTACCGAACCTTACTAGGGCTAACTGGGACTGGGCTGCAACAGGAGATTCAGAAAGGACACAGGATATACACACAGACAGAAAGTGGGATCTGGTGTGTTGGGCACTCAGGTGGAGATGCACAACTGCCTCATTGCTTCTTTTGTCTATTATTCTCTTCATTTACTCTGCTTCTTTTCTCTATCTTTATTCTTTAACACCTTACTCCTTTATAGTTCTTTAAAACCTTTCTTCTAAAGTCTTCTTTTCTGTTCTTTAAAGTCTCTTTCCTTAGACTCACCCTGTCCCATGTTTTCTCTTAGCTTATCTTTAGCATAATCTCTCTTAGAGTCTTTGTCTCCAGACTTGCACTGTACCATGTTCTCTCTGTAGCTTTCTTAAAGCCTAGGTGCTCAGACTTGCAAACAACAACAGCTTCATCTAAAACTGTAATCGCATAACTCTTAAAGTCTCAGTCCTTAGACTTGCACTGTCCCATGTTCTCTTTAGCTCTTCTTTAGCTTAGCTTTTCTAAAGCCCATGTATAAAGTTCTTGGTGCAGACTTTCTATCAACCCCTCTTTAGTAATTCCCCTTTAGCAATTTCCCTTTAGCAATTCTATTCCGTTCAGCAATCTCCCTCCAGCACTTTCCCTTCAGCAATTCATTTCCTTTCAGCAGTTCATTTCCCTTCAGCAATCCTTTTCCATTCAGCAATTCTTTTCCCTTCAGCAATTCTTTTCCTTCAGCAATCCTTTTCCCTTCAGCAATTCTTTTCCCTTCCAAAAGCCTACCACACCAAAAAGCCAAATGCCCAAAAAAAAAAGCTTTGAGGCTTTTTTGAGCAAAAGCCTCAAAGCAAAAGCCCCTAAAGCAAAAGCCCAAAGCAAAAAGCCCCAAAAGCAAAAGCCTCCCTCCTTCACTGAGTCTTTATATCCAGTGGTAAACAGGATGGAGCAGCAGTTCTCAGGGAGGGGCATGACATTGTAACAGGAAAAACCTGTGTTCCTGCTTTCTGAACATAAACAACTTAGGAAAAGCAGCTGTTCTGCATTTTCCTCTTCTATGGCCAGTGCTATGCCAATCTCAGCCTACAGATAATCTCTTAGGAAAAGCAACTGAGCTGCATCTCCCCTTGCTTATGTCCAGTTCTCATAGGCTTCTCATAATCCACTCTCCCAAGGAAGGAAGGAGAAAGAAAAGACGAAAAGGAGGAGAAAGGAATAATCAGAGTTCTTTCATCAATTAAGAGTTTGTTTACATATAAGCAAGAATTTGAACCAGAGTAAATGGCTGATAGTGAATCCTTTCTCAAGAACAGAGAAAAGTGAGTACAAAGGACACAGGCACTTACAAGAAAGAGAGGGCACCACAGTCATTCTTCCAATGGCTCAATAAGCAAAAATGTAGTGACATGTTCCAAGCATAGGAATACAATAGGCTCTGTAGGACTGGCTCCATGGAGCTTACAATCTGATTGGGGAGTCAGAAATTAACCCAGTGATACCACAGCAAATATAAAATTGTAACTGATCCTTGGTCATGTCTGTGTCCCTACAGGCCAAGTATCACCTTTGTTCAGCTGGTTGGCTGGAGAGTGGGCGGGTTGCCTACCCCACAGCCTATGCCTCCCCGAACTGTGGCTCGGGTATTGTTGGGATAGTAGACTATGGACCCAGGCCCAACAAGAGTGAAATGTGGGATGTCTTCTGCTATCGGATGAAAGGTAACTGCCCCAGCTATACTTCCCGCTCCAGGCCGTGCAGTGGCTGAGCAGTCCTCAGCCTGGCGAGCCAATCCCAAGGGTAAGCAGAACAACCCAGGTCTCACTGTGTGCCTCTGCTCCCCAGATGTCAACTGCACCTGCAAGATGGGCTATGTGGGAGATGGCTTTTCATGCAGTGGGAACCTGCTTCAGGTCCTCATGTCCTTCCCCTCGCTCACAAATTTCCTGATGGTATGTACCATGTCTCTTGGGGTCCACCTCAGGTTGGGAGAGCTGCCTCCAAGTAGCTGTAGGATGAGGAGGAGTGAGTTCTTGAAAAAAGCTAAAGGCTCATAGTGGGTAAGAGGTGAGGGCAGGAGTGCTGGACCACCTTCTTTGAATTTGAGGCTTGGTTTGCCACTCACTACTTTAAACAGGTAACTTCCTTTCTGAACCTCATTTTTTTAACTGTAAAATGGAGTTAATGACAGCCTCATGGGGTCATTATGATCATTAAATGAGCTGATGTTTACAAATCATTTAGATCCTTGGTGAGCACATAGAAAGTCTTCATATCTCTGCTTATGTCTCGAGATGATTAAGAGTCTTGAGGGAGAGGGTGAATCATGGTACTAAGCCTGCCTGGTGATCTGGAGCCAAACTAACATGGAATCAGTTTTGCACTTTGCACTGCACCTGAAGTCACATCAGTGTTCTCCAAATTATGTCCAATGAAGAGAAAGCTCTATTTGGAGGATTTTTACTGATCACAAAACTAAACTAATAATAACAGTTTTATGATCAGTTGACTGATCATAAAACTAAACTAATAATAACAGCTAACACCCACACTGAGCCCTTTTCAAGGTCATTTCATCTGGACACAAAATGTAAGCTCTAAAAGGGAAAGGATTTCCCCTATGTTGACTACTACTGTATCTCCAACATCCAGATAGTGGCACATTGAGCTGGTACTCAATAAATACTTGTTAGACTCACTAAATTCTACTGAGTTTAGCAAAGTCAAGGATGTATCCTAAACACCCCAGAACTGGGCTCAAATTCATTAGCTTGGTGCCCACCTCCCTCTCATCCTTTATGTGAAGAAGAGGAGTGGAGAACAGGGACATTAGTGACTGAGCCACTGTCTCCAGAAGAACTGACAGTGACCTTGGAAGGAGAAGATTACTAGCCATAAGTGCAGGGCTGGCAAGGTCAGAGCAGAAGTGATACAAGGACACACACACAAAGTCAAGCAGGGAGTAGGGGGTGGCATTTTGCATTGTGAGGAGGGAAGACTTCACAAGAAGATGGCATTTGAGCAAAGAGTTCACCATGCCGACATGGGGAAGAAGACTATAGCAAAGAAACAGTTGAACAAATAATGAAAGGCTGGGTTGGTTTGAGAAGCATCAAGGAAGCCAGTATGCTGGAGCAGAGTGAGCAAGAGAAGGGACACCTGGTCCCAAAGTCCATAGAACAATAGCTAAAGATTTGAACCTCATGAGCTATTATGAGTACTTTGACTTTTCCTCTGAGTGAAGTAGGGCCATTGCAAGAATTTGAACAATGGACATTCAACATATGACCAGTATTTCAAAGACTTCTCAGGCTGCCATGTTGTGGATGGTCTATAATGTGACTATGTCTTAGGACCATAGGATTCTTTGAGGAAAGGAAAAGTCCTCCTAAAATTTGCTCAAGGAGGAGTGAGAGAAAATAGGAAGGGAGTGGCAAACCTGACCTTGGCCTGACATTAGGAATATTCCAGAGGTGTGATACCCTGTAACCCTCTCCAGTCACCTGTTGTGAGATGTCAGAAACATAGACAAACATATTTGTATCTTCTCATAATGTCAAAGTGTATTGAATAACCATAAATTCATAAGCTGCATCAATTTCATTGCTTTAATTCACCAAGTACTACTGATTTCACATGGTATTCCTGACCATTAGCAAACACAGGTTCTTCTAGTTTGATCTTAATTAATAATAGTAACTCTCAGGTCACACATGACATGATATATAGGTTACAGAATGACTAAGAAAGTGTTAAAAAGCCCCTGCAGAGTTCAAAGGGGCCTTCCTGAAGGCAAGAAGAGAGCTGATAGCGATACAGAGAGTCACTGCAATGGTTAAATAAAATAGTAACATAATAAGCCCAGTCACAGAGCTGTTCTGGCACAGGGCTGCCAAAGCACAAAGCTAGCTCAAGCATAAGGCTGTTTCCTGATGCAGAGTGGTTTCAGTCTTTTTGTGTAGGCAAGGGCAATTCAAGTGGGCCCTGTCAAGTAGGGGGGAATCAAGCTGAGCTGAAGCCCCAGGGACAGAGTTGGGAGTCATCATGAGTTGATCTTTTATACATGCATTGGATGTCTAATCACAGGTTAGTGGGTGCCACTTTACTCCAGTGTTCGGTACCCCATCTTTTAGATGATACAGGTGAGGGGGTTGCATCATTCATTGGTCTGGTATGTTTGTTAAGCTCACAGGCCTGGTTTTTCTGATAATAATTTTGATATACTCATGTGCCCATGTGTTCCCCAATTTAATTTGTAAGCTCATAGGTGGTAATATTTTTTGCATAAATAAGTTATTATCAACCTATGCCTCATGGTATGTGCTGGAGAGATACTGGTTGTTTATTTCCACAAATTAGATGACAGAGTCGTTCTGCCTCAACATTTGCATTCAGAATGGACAAACTGCTGTTTTACACAATGGGGTCATTGAATGTAAGGCACATCCTGAAAGTTACTGTTCTGTACAGTATGGAGTAACTTAGAGCAGGGCATATCCTGATCTCCAACTACTTCAAGTTCCACAAACCAGAGCTGACCTATATCTGACAGCTTCCTTCCTGTCCCCAGGAAGTGCTGGCCTATTCCAACAGCTCAGCCCGAGGCCAGGCATTTCTGAAGCACCTGACTGACCTGTCCATCCATAGTAATACCCTCTTTGTGCCACAGAACAGTGGGCTTCAAGAAAATGAGGTGAGTTCAGGCCCCCTGTGCCCACACTTCAGACTAAAAATGAGTTGTCTGTCACCACAAAATGCAATCCTGTATAGTGATTTAGCTCAGTTTATCTGCCATTCAGCTGTTGCTCTGGTCTAAGACCAGCCATCAGTGGCTCCAGGCTGGCCTGTTTGATGGTTCTCTCCACAGGGCTCTCATGCTCCAGCAGGCTAGCCTGGGCACGTTCTCATGGCTATGGTAAGGAGTAAGAGTGGCACGTGCACACACAGTCCCTCCAGTGCTTTCAAACTTCTGGTCATGTTTGCTATAGCCACTGCCCAATAGGTCATGTGACTAAGCACCAAGTCAGAAGAGGAAACAGAGTTATGTGGGCAGGGCTAAGATACAAGCAAGGGGAAATACCCAGGGCCACTGATACAATAAACGTAGCACACCAAGCTCTTCAGGATGTGGTACACAGAAAGAATGGCAGGATTTATTCAAAGAGCCCATAAAGGGCTGACCTTCATTCTATCAGCCGCAGGTTGCCACCTGGGGCTGCCCACATGGACCTATGCCAGATCTACTCTTCCCAGGTGTACCACTTGGGAAGCTCTGCTTTTGACAACAAGGATGACTTCAGTCCCTCATCCTAACTATAAGTGAGCTCCTTGCAGAGCCTAGCAAGACACCTGAGAAAAATGGTATTTTCCAGCCTTGAAAGAACATTCTTGTGTTTCTCCTTTCCTCTCAGACCCTGTCTGGGCGGGACATTGAACACCACCTTGCCAATGTCAGCATCTTTTTTACAATGACCTTGTCAATGGTACCATCCTACAAACAAAATGGGAAGCCAGCTACTCATCACTTCCAGCCAGGACCAGCTACATCAGGTATGAAAAGTCTTCTTGGGCTGTCTTGAACAAGCTTTGTCAGAAATTATACAAACTCATTTGTGTCTTTCTGCAATGTCAAAAATTTAGTGAATAACAATACATTTACAGGTTACATCAATTCCATTGGCATTGATTAACCAAGTACTGCTGATTTCACTTGGTATTCATGGCCATGGCAAAACAGGTTCTTCTGTTTCAATTTTAATTACTATTAATTAACTCTCAGATCAAACATTAAACTTCACACACTGATATATAGGTTACAGAATGACTAAGGAAAGGTTAAAACACCTGCAGGGTTCAAAGGGGCCTTACTAAAGACAAGAGGGAAAATTGATACAGATGCAAAGACAATCACTGCAGACAGTTAGGTAAGACAGTAACATAACTGAGCCACTGAGCTGTTCTGGCACAGGGCTGCAAAGTACAGAGTTCCAGGGGCAAAGCTTACTGGGTTCAGAGGAATGGGAAGTCTAGTGGGTCATATCAAGCAGGGGGATCAAACTGAGCTGAATCTGTCCCAGGGACAAAATAAGGAATTTGTCACCTGTTGATCCCATGATGCATGCATGGGATAGTCTGATGATGGTTAGAGGATGGATGCCCACTATATCAGGTGTTAAGAGCCCCTCCTTTCAGATGATCCTAGAGAGGAGGTTGCATCATTTGCTGGTCTGGTGTGTTGAATGAGCTCTTGGCTCTGGTTTTTCTTCAATGGTTTTGAAACACCCATGTATTCCTGTGTTCTGAACTTAATTTGATAAGTTCATATGTGGCAGTACATGGTTTGTGCTAGACAGGGTGGTTGTTTACATGCACAAACAAGATGACAGGATCATTCTCACTCAAAATTTACACTCAAAATGGAACAAACTGATGTTTTGAAAATAGAGTAATTGCGTGCAAGGCACCGCTGAAAGCCACTATTTTATACAACGTGGAGTAACTTAGGCAAGGCACAACCACCAAATGGCGCACCTACACATGGGTTTCTAGTGCAAAGTTCCTGGTATACACTGGTTGCTCAATAGGTGGCAAATATTATAATGTGAAGGTAAACTCTAAATCTATAGATAGGGGATGATATTAATACACACCATAGCATACTAAGCAGCCCTACCCCTTGGAAAGCGGGCCTCAGAAGCTGGTAATGAGGAAGAAGTGAAACCATTTTAAAGCTCTTTGATTTTTCACCTTTGTTTCTGTTGGCTTATCAGTCTATCCCAGGCATTAATAGGTGGGCTTTGAAGGCAAATGAACCTGACATGAATTAATCCTGACATGCCACTTGTTAGCTGTAAGAACTTAGACAGTTACCCAGCTTCCCTGTGTTTACGTTTCCTCATCTGATAAGCAGGATTGGGGTAGGGGGAAGATAATGCTGACAGTGCCAATGGTGGTAATGGTAATGGTTATTTTGATAATGGTAATGTCAGAGAGGGAAATTGTCCTTCTGCCCATTAGAGTGTTTTGTGGCTGGGCCCAAAAATTAAACTGGCATAAGACACCTTCACAGGAGAAAAGCACATAAAATTTCCTTAATATTTTATGTGCACAAGGGCATCCTCATAAGAAAAAATGAAGAACCAAAGAAGCAGTTCATACTGAGAGCTTGCATACTTTTTAAACAAACAACAAATAACAAAAAAAATCTTTTTGAGGGGAAGTTACAAGACAAAGTGGTTTGGGCTGAGTAAATTGTGGGACCATGACTAGGAAACACATGGTAGAAGTGAATGGAGACGAGGGTTGTTTTAGTAGGCTGGTTTCTCCAGATCCATTTTGGCATCAACTCTCAGTCTCTGGTGATAAGAATTTTCTTCTCTCCGGTTCAGGAAGGGCAGCTTTCTGTTAGGAAGTTTTACCTGCTTTTAGGTAGAAAGGAAGAAGTCAGTGAGTCACCCCTGAATCTGTCATTTCTCAAGTGACTTCAACTAAAAACTAAAATCAATATGCCAAATTTTGAAGTAGTATGTCCTGAACCCCTTCAGTAGTGATGGTGGTGGTGGTGGTGGCGGTGATGACCACAATGACCATGAATTCTAAATCACAATGATTCAAAGCTTGTGTGTGCAGAGAATAATACCTGGCACATGGGATATTGTCTTTTAATCCTCTCCTGATAAATGAGTTCTGTTATTGAAGAACAGTAGTTAGTCTGTGCTTCATAAATGTCAATGTACATTTGAATCATCTGTTAAAACACAACCTATGACACAAAGGTGGCATATGGGGCTTCAGTTCTGCCCACATGAGCTGGTGGATCACAGTGGGATTAGCACACTCAGAAATCCTTTTCTAGCGGTTTGGTGTGATGTTCAGAGCCCTGGACCTGGTGTGGGTTCCTGTCTGTTACCTTAGTGATCTTGGACAAGCCATTTTCCTTCTGATTGCTCACCTGTCATACAAGAGGATCAGAGGAATGGCCCCTGAGGTTTCCACTGTCCTTAGAGCAGCTTTTTGGCGATCTTGCACACTTGGTTGAGAAGGCAACCACTGTGTTCTGGAGTGGGCAGATAGTGAGCAGCAAGCGAAGACAGGACTGAAACCTAGGCTCTGGGGGCCTCAGGGAAGCTCGACAGAACAGGAGGGCTGCCCACCTGGGAGAAGACCAGCAGGTCACAGAGCTCTAGCTACTCTCTTCTCTTTTCCCAAGGAGGAGGCCAGGTTTGTGGATGGAAGAGCCATTTTGCAGTGGGACATCTTTGCCTCGAATGGAGTTATTCATGTCATTTCCAGTCCCCTAAAAGCACCTCTCACCCCAGAGGTGAGTATCCAGGCTTCCGGGTTGGGGCCAGGAAGAGTTCAGTGTGCACTCCCCCAACCTATCACTAGAAACCCTGACCCCAGCTCCCTCCTGGAGAGATGGAGCAGGGAGTGCTTCCCACCTCCAAGGCAGCTGGCCTGGTTCATCCCATCCCTCCTCCCATTAGCAGTGCTCCTGCTGGGTGAAAGGGGAAGAAGAGCAATAGAGGAACACTGGAGGGAAAGTGAGGAACCCTGGCTCCGTAGCACCTCCAAGCCTCATCTACTAAGTGTGGGGGTGGAGAAAAACCTAATGCCTCCTTCCCTGCATTTTGGAGAATACGTGAGTTGAGAAATGCAAACTACAGTAGTTCCTGGCACGTGGGCCATGCTGTCTGAAGTTGGCCGTACTGTTGTTAGGACGCTTTTTCCCAGGAGCACGAGGGAGTGGTGAGCTGCTAGCTGCTGGAAGTTCCTTGGCATAGTGGTTAGGTGAATAAGCTCCAGAGCCAGACTGGGTTCAAAACCCACTTCTGTCTCTAACTAACTGCATCATATTGGGCAAGTGTTTAACATCTCTGTGCCTCAGTTTACCCATATAAAAATAGAAAAATAACCCCTGTCCCCATCTCTTTGGGCTACTATAAATGGGTTATTTCACATAAGGGCTTAGAACAGACCTGGCAGTAGGAAGGGCTCAATACGTGCTAACGTACCATTATTTTTACTCCAAGACGCCTGAAGTCAGCAAGGAGGGTGAACTCCTGAAGGGTACCTTTCTGGGGAATCACCAGTTATAAGAACTGACCCCTCTTTCTGTGTTCAGACTTCAGCCCACTCCGGCCTGGGGACAGGGATATTTTTCGCCGTAGTCCTGGTCTTGGGAGCCATTGCTCTGGCTGTCTATTCTTACTTTCGGCTGAACCGGAAAACAATTGGCTTCCAGCATTTTGAGGTAAGAAAGAAAAATGGGAACATGATAATGGTCATTCCCTCATCCATTTCCTGTTGCCATCACAGAATGCCTTGAGGCAGGGTGATTTATAAAGAACAGAGGTTTGTTTAGAGGTTCTAGAGTCTGGGCGGTCAAGAG